AGAATGCCACACGTGGAGTTGATTTTATTCCCAAAGCTCAGGATCTTTGGGAATGTGATCTCTTTTTTTTAAACTCAGGGCAATAATCCCTGTTCGCGGGACACCGCTGTGTGCACTTAGCTGTCATTTTTTTTTGCAGCGTTGAGTTAAATTGGGGAGAAAGGTACTTCACACACCTTTTGTTTTCTTTTGGGTGGTGGGGTGGGGGGGGGCTAGAGAGGGGAGATGGGGAGAGAGGTTTTCTTGATTCCAGAGTGTTTGTGGGACACGGCTGTTTGTGGGGACGCTGCTGCGCGCAATCGGCTGCCGCGTTTCGCCCACAAAATATGAAGTCAATTCACTTTACAGACTTTACCGTCTGTTTATTCGTCGAAGCGCTTTCAGACGTCCGGAAGCCGCGATAAGGGGCGACATCAAATGCGAGGATTATTATTATTAATTATTATTATATTATTTAATGTTATATCAGGAGTTTTTTTTGAGAATGTACGTTCCGATATTCGCAGCCTCTCAAGCATCCCCCTCACCCCGGAGAGCCAGCGAGATCATGACAGGAGAATCCGTCGGGAAATCGCCAACAGCAACGAGAGGAGGCGCATGCAGAGCATCAACGCAGGATTCCAGTCCCTCAAAGCCCTGCTCCCTCACGCTGACGGGGAAAAACTCAGCAAGGTACCTTTAGGTTTCTGTCTATCCTTCCTTTCCCCCCGGTCACCACCTCCGCTTCCTTCCTTCCTGTCATTGTGCTCGCTGGGGGTCAAAACCCGCCAAACAAAAAGCGTTTCCCTTTCTTTGTGGAGGCCTGTGGTGTCGCGGGAACGTGCCGAGCGCGGTTGGCAGCGCCGGGGGTGTCACCCACGAAGTGTAACCTCACCTTTGAAGCGCTCTGAAACGTCTTCAGCAACGTGATAAGGCGCTGAGTCAAAAATGCAAGGATTATTATCGCGAATAGAAATGAGTAATAATCCGGCGTTTGATTCAGTTGAATACGTCTCAGAGCTTTCGCAGTTTCTTCTCGAGAAAGCCCTTCCGACTGTTTTGGCGAATTTTATATTTACCGACCATGGGGCCGGCTATAGACTTAATACCTTTAAAATGTCAACGCTAACATGGGGTGGGGCCCTCTGTCCTGACAGGCGGCCATCCTGCAACAGACGGCTGAGTACATATTTGCTCTGGAGGAGGATAAGACGCGTCTAATGCAACAGAACTCCCACCTCAAGCGTCAAGTCCAGGTGAGAGCTGGAGAGAGGGTCAATGTCCACCTGAGGGGTTACAGGGGCTTGGTTTCGGGTCTCACCCGAAGGATGGCGCCTCCGATAAAGCCTGACTCAGTCAGCGAGAGTCCTGTAGCTCAAGGGTTAGAGCACTCGCCTTGCAAGCGAGAGGACCTGGGTTCGATTCCCAGGCAGGACGAAGCGTTGGGCACGTTTTCTGACTCTACACACACCTCCGGTGCGCTGTGTAATTCCTCTTATAACTCCACTCACCACCCACTCGTCTCCTCCCCACCCCCAGGAGTACACGGGCTCCTCCCCCAAGAGGAAGCGAGGCGATGAATCGGACGAGGGGATCGGTTCTCCCGACTCGGCGGATGAGGGTCCGGCGGAGCTGAGGCAGCGGCTGGAGAAGGAGAGGAACACCACAGCCAGCCTGCAGGAGAAGGTGGGCTCGCGCGCTCTCTCTCTCTCTCTCACCTCGGCTGTGCTTTGCTTTATTTTGTTCAGCCGGGTGTCTGACACAAGCGGAAACCTGTCACCGTGCTTAATAATCGTCACCATGATTAGGGGTAACAATTCCTCCCCTCACCCCCTCCCCTCAAATAAATCATAATAATAATTTGGTCACTCGCTCCACGTCCGTTTATGGGACACTGCTGTGCGCAATTGGCTGCTGCGTTTCACCCACAAAATATACACAGGGAATCCACTTCCTACGAAGCCCAGAAAATACGCAGTCACTACACTTTGCAGTGTATCCTGTGAAGAGCTTTGAGACGTCTCGAAGACGTGATGAGGCAATGCAAAGATTATGATTATTATAATTATTCTTATTGAGAGTCTCCAAACCAAGCTGAGAATTGGAATCGCACCACATTTTTTCTCTCTCTATCTCTCTCTCCTCTCTATGTCCTGTAACTGATCTCAGCCCCATGTGAATTGACCGAAATCCTAAGCGCTTTGAGACGTCTCAGAGACGTGAATGCAAGGATTATTATTATATTATTATACATCTGTCGCTCGCTCAGTAACCTTTGATCTCCCTGTGACACAGGTCAGGAGCCTGGAGTTACAGCTGCAGCCGGTCATACCCACTGCCCCATCCCCGCAGACTGCAACACTCATACCCCAACCCACACCCCAACAGCCAGAGGTGAGCGAGGACCAGGAGCTCCTACTGCAACCTCAGCATCAGCCGAGTGAGATGTTGACACTGCCCAGCCTCACCGTTCAGGTACTGCTCATCCACCACACAGACACCACACGGATACACAGACACCACTCACACACACACATGCACACACATATACATACATCACTGTATACACGCACACACATACATCACTCATACATGTAAATATATTATACAAAAAACACATATATATACACACACACATCATACACACGTACATATAAATGTAAATATATATACAAAATACACACACATATATATTATATATAAATATGGACAGAAGCCCATCACCATATACACCCCCGACCACACACAGCCCGCTGAGGTACAATGGGGGAACGTGGGAGGGGAGAGTGAAGGTTACAGGAGTCTTGAGGAAGAGTAAACTATTATGAATGGCGGTGAGCGGGGGCGAGGCTTGCGGAGATCACTAACTGATCAGAGCAGCAAGTTGGAGGGGCAATTTTCTTCTGAAACCATTTATTACAAATATTTAACGTGGTCCTCTTTTTCTCTCTCTCTCTCTCTTCCCTCCCCAACCCCTCTCCACCACTTATCAGCTCCTGGTGGCAGACTGCCCGCCCGCACCCACTCACCACCCCACCGTGATCGTGCCCGCCCCATCGCCGGCCCCACTGGCCACCATGGTGACCGCCACACCCAGCTCCGTCATCAGTTCCGTCTCCACATCCAAACAGAACCTGGACACCATTGTACAGGTAAGAGGGTTATATAATAAATAACAATAATAATCTTCGCATGTGATACAGCGCCTTATCACGTCTTCGAGACGTCTCAGAGCGCTTCACAGAATATACCATGTAGTGTAGTGACTGCGTCTTTTGTGGGCGAAACGCAGCAGCCAATTGCGCACAGCAGCGTCCCCCACACACACACAGTGGTTGATTGAGTGACCAGATTATTCTTTTTTTGAGGGATTATTACCCTGAGAAAATCGATCCGCTAATCAACTGGTTCCTCCTTACTGCTGGGTAAACAGTGGCGTGAGTGTGTGTGTGGAGAGTAATGAAACTCGCCTAAGGTTTCACCAGCCCGGGAATTGAACCCGGGTCCTCTCGCTTGCGAGGCGGGCGCACTAACCACTGAGCTACAGGACTCCACACCCTGATGAACTTTCTCTGGTGGCTTTCTAGGCGATTCAGCACATCGAAGCCACGCAGCAGGGTATCGAGGAGACAGTGGTGGTGGAGACAGAGGTGGTGGAGACAGAGGCGCTGGTCTTGGCGGGCGAGCAGTACGGTGTGAAGAGAGCTGGGGACTGGCAGGGGCTACTGGCTTCCTCGCAGCTCCTAATCAGGGGCCCCTTTGGCCACCCGGAGCCTGAGGTGCCAAACCCTGCTCGGAGAGAACTGCTGGCGGCTTTACAGAGGCCCAGAGGGGAGCAGATCCCCTCGGTATTAATCGCAAGAAGTGGCGTGCACTAAAACTGTGCGTCTGAGAGGGACAGAGGACTGACATGGCACCTTCTAGCGAGATCACAGGACCTTTGCGTGTCACTTTTCTCTCCCAGTCTCGCACCCTTTTCCCCCTCCAAGCGAGCTGCGTCCTCCCACCACACAACTTGCGTTTATAAATAGCGTCCCTCACGCAGGGTGACAACACAGAGCACTTAAACACACACACACACATACAGTAACCCCACATGTCTCCGTGCAGACGTCACACCTCATTGCCCCACCGACCGTGTCAAAGTGTGACGTTCCCAATCCGGTGGCTGGTTGTTGGCGATTCCCAAAGAATGTCGTCTTTAAAAGGAGATGGTGAAAGGGCAGGGCATTGGGATCAAAAGATCCGTCAAGTGCTTTAGAACCATAAAAATTTAGGAGGCTATGCGTCCCTTCCTGCTGGCTCCTTCCCTGCCTACAGTCCCACTTCCCTGCCTGCGCCCCCCCCACTCCATACCCCTGGAGCATTCTGCCTCAACCCCAGCAATGAATCCCATGTGCTTCAGGATGTTTGCCCTGGAATCTGGAACTCACTCTCTTCCCCCAAAAGGTTGTGTGTGGACCGTAGCTGGATCCGTTCACATTTTCCATACTGAGTTGGATGGATATTTGTTAGGTCAGGACATCAAGGGATATTGGGGCAAAGGCAAGTAGATAACTACTTGCATTTATATAGCGTCCCTCACACAGAGTAGCGTCCCAGGGAGCCTAATGGAGTTGAGGTACAGATAAGCCATGATCTAATAGAAATAGGCTCGAGGGGATGAATGGCCTCTGCTCCTATGTTTAAATACACAGGAGGATGGTTGCTGGTTTAAGTCATTCGAATGTCACTCAAAAGGTCACTGACCGACTGGACAGGACTGGCTGAGTTGCGGACGTGTTTTTTTTTTCCATGTGTGCCCAAATCTTTCGAGCCAGGCGTGGGTTCCACCTTTCAGGAGGAGGGTTCGGGTGCCAGCCTGTGCCCTCTCCCGTATCTGGCATGATCTGGGCAACGGACCTTTGTGGGGTTCAGCAGAAGCCTCGTCAGAATGGGCAGCAAACGGCACAATGCGGTGCGGAGAAGTGGCAGACGTACTGAAGTTAGGATCTCACCCTATCGCTGCCTTGCCAGCCCCTTTGCGCTGTGTGCTTATGTCTGCGCGTATTGTATGCGCTTGTACAGCAGGCTTGTGCCTGTGCGCGCGCTTGTGTCTGGATGTGCGTGTGCGCGCACGCGTGCTGCAAGCCTGTCCGTGCGTACACGCCGCGTGCTTGTGTCTGCATGCGTTTGCGTCTGTGTTGTGTGTGCGCTCGCGGGACTGGGAGAGAGATGTACTCACTTCTGGAGCACTTATGTCACGTTTCGCAAGACTTGTAAAGTTTTCTCTTCCCCCTGAATGTTTCGCATTCTGAGCTGCGATGTGGCCTTAAATCCCCTTTTTCCTTTAACTTTCCCCCCCCCCACCCCTCCAAGCACAGAACTGACATTTTGTCTTATTTTTATATACAAAAAAAACAGGTTCCAAGAGGATCTTGGACCAGACTTTCTCTCTTTTTAAAATACATTAAACAAAATTATAATGCTATAATACTATTCATTTACCACTGTCCAACTGAGAGACATTATGCAGCAGAAGGTTTAATAATAATCCTTGCATCCAATGTGGCGCCTTATCACTCTTCGAGACATCTCAAAGTGCTTCACAGAATATATTGTAAAGTGTATTGACTGTATATTTTGTGGGCAAAGCCCTCCCCCATGTCTCCTGCTTGTGTTACTTTACAACTCCCCCACCAGGAGTAAACAGTAAACTTAAGCGAGTAACGGGGGGGGGGTGCGGGGAGCTACTAATGTAAAGTACTTGACAAGAATTGGGGCTTGGCTGTGACAAACCCCCCACACCCCCATGCACACACACTGTTGTATCAGCCAAAAAAGCAATGCAAATAACAGCTGAGTTCTCACAGAGGCCGTTAGATGGCGCTCTCCCCAATCAGACACCATCTTGGGAGGAGATGGTTTGGGAGCAGTCTCTCCCCCCCCCCCCCCCTTACTGGATGTAAAGAGAATAACATCAATGGTAGTCCAGGTAATAATAATAATCCTTATGGTAATAATAATCCTTGCTTTTGGTATAGCACCATTCAGGTCAGGAGGGCATCTCAAAGCGCTCCATAGGAAACCCTGTACAGCGTAGTGACTGTTTTGTGAGCAAAGCGAGGCAGCCAATTAATTGCTCACATGGGGTTGTCCCACAAACAGCCCTGAAGTGAAGTGAATGACCAACTGGGGGATTGTTGGCCAGGACACCGGGAGAGAGGGCGAGAGAGAAAGAAACTCCCTTCTCACCACAGGAGATCTTTAAAGTCCGCTTGAACAGGCAGACGGGACCTCGGCAGACGTCTCATTCCAAGGGGGCACCCCCCCCCCAACAGGCAGTGAGAGATTTAACAAAAGGAGAGATAGGTTCATAAATTGTAAAAACCCGCAAGAAATGGCAACGGTTCCCTTTGTCCATCGCTCAACCAACGGCCACTCACTGTGGCACCGACTATAAAACTGCTTTCAATATACACTTCTCTGTAAAGTCTTTCGTGAAAAAAAAAAAAAGTTTTTCTAAAAGTCCCTTTTTTTTTACATTTCTAGGATTAGAGAAATGTACATTTGCAAAATGTCCGATTAAAAATTATGAACTTTTGTTACAAAATGGCTGCCGTGCTTTTTTGAAGGAACCTTTCTCTCCGGTGTCAATAATAATACTTGCATTTGATATTCCACCTTATCACATCTTCCAGACATTAATTCTGTGTTTTACGTACCTGGTTGAACGTATCCAAACCAGAAGTTCTCTCAAAGCTTAAGCCGTGCGTGTCCTGAGTACACCAGGTAAGTCCAGGGCAACTGTGAGCAGCTCATTAAATCCGGCCTCTCGATAAATAATCCTTGCAATTTGATAGCACCTATAATGTGGAAACATCTCAAAGTGCTTGACCAGTATTACCACCGGGTGAAGTGACCGCAGGCAGACGCAGAAGCCAATTCACACGCAGCAACGATAGTAAAACCTGCATTTGACACAGCGCCTTATGTTATTGAGACGTTTCAAAGCGCTTCACGGGATGGATTGTAAGCAACGTCAGCAAGCAGCCATGGTCAATTGATCTGGGGGATTGTTGGGCAGGACACAAGGAGAGAGAGAGAAACTCTCTTTCGCAATAGCGTCAGTCCACAGTCGTGGATTAAGCGACCAAATTTTTTTTTTTTTTGGAGAGGGATTATGACCCCCTTAAAAACGATGCACCAAGCAATTAACAACTGGGTTCCTACTTACTGCTGCGTAAACAGAGGTGTGTGGGGTAAGGAAACTTGGCTACAGGGTCAACCCGGGTCTTCTCGCTTGTGAGGGGAGCGCTCTAACCGATACACTACAGGACTCCACATCCTTCTACTGGCTGAGCATCCATCCTTATGCCGGTCTCACAATACAGTGGCAATGTGACAAGACCTTGATGTCTCAGCAACAAAAACCCATCCATCACCCACCCGCCCGCCCTCCCGCCACACCCTCAGGGACAATCATTATTAATATGGAATTATTAACATCTCGTGTTCAAATAGCAACAAGTTGCCTTTTAATTCAAAAAAAAAAGCAGAAATCCAAAATGTCAGAGTGTGGCTCAAAAATATAGCAAGCAAATCTAAACAGGTTGTAGTTTTTTTTTTTATATTGACCCAAGTAGTGCAACCGGTTCTCCTTCCCTCTCCCCCCCCACCCCACCCAGTTAGGACTTTATTTCCTTCGTTCAGTGACCTGCTTCTTCAAGGCTTAGCGCCAAATTTGGAGGAAAGTTTGCCCACGAAGTTCATGACTTTAGGATTGTTCTGATACTTCGAGATGTTGGCGGGATTCTGGGCCACATCTTGGAAAGCTGCCATTATTTCTGGGTCCTGGACCGGAACAGAAAGGGTTTAACACAAGGGGTCGAAAGACACAGACACACACAATACAGAAGTAATCCCTCGGGATAATTCATCATGCATTTTGCTCTGCTGTCAGTTCTCCCCCCTTCTCCCCCCAGCAAAGGTTCATGGCAAATCCGTTTCACACCGTGCAGTAAGAAATAACAACAACAATCCTTGCATTTGATATAGCGCCTTATCACGTCTTTCAGATGTCTCAAAGCGCTTCACAGAATATACTGTAAGGAAGAAATAGCGCCTTAGCTTGTTGAAATGTCTTGAAGGAAATGTGCGTTGGTTTAACTCACCGGAGTTTAAGGTGTGAAGACGTTTAGAAGTAAACACATTTTGTGGGCATGTGGCCCAGCAAAAGTGAATAAGCATCTACTTGTTGGCACTGACAAGAAGGACAAAACAATACTCTCCGTACCCCCCCCCACCTACACGTGCTCTCAAGACCTAGGTGAATTGAGCCAATAAAACCTGTGCTGAGAAAGAGAATAAAAAAAAGAAAAGAAACCTAACCTGGCCGATGGATTTGCTAAGTGTGGAACCACACACAAAAAAAATAAACAACATCCACTGACAGAAGCAACCAGAAATAGCAACAACACCCAGAGCTTGATACTTCACACCTTGCATTCTAAACTATACAATACACTTTTAAATTGACATCCCAAAGTGCTCAACACTGCTGACTGGGGTTGAGGAGCCGAGGTGGGGGAGATGGGCGTTGAATGAGGCGATGGAAGGAGTTGGGAGTTCCAGAATGGCTAAAAAAGACCGCCTGTCGATGGTGGGGCGGATATGGTGAGGGGGGCATGAAGCAGGCAGGCTGGTGCTCACACAAGAGCGCTCAGAACAGCCGAGGAGACACAACCCATGGCACAACCAGCCCCCGTGCACCACCACAACAAAATGGCGCTGCTGACACCATTACTGCGAGCATTACAAACCCCATGCAAACCCCACCAATCTAACAGGTTTACCTGCATGGCTCCAAGCACTTCTGGGTCACCAAGAAGGTCGTTTAGCCCTGGCATTCCTGCCATTCCAGCCATCCCAGGCATCCCTCCCGGGAAAGCACCAGCTCCTAAAAAGAGGAAAGAAAAAAAAACAACCCTGTTTAAATAAGGAGATCGGCACATCATGGCTTAAAGCTGCCTGAAGATCGGGCCTTGGTTTCGGTCTGTTGCGAGCAAGCTGCGCTGCTTCAGGAAGTCAAGTGGGATTCGAAAACTCCGGCTGATGTCAGGGACGTCCAAACCCAGGGCCTGACCCACGCGAGAGACCCTGGCATAAGGGCGTTCCCATCAGTCAGTCTCCCTGGCCAGTGATCTGCCTGTCATTTCCGGAACATTCCTTAGTCCATCCCCACCGAAAGACTAACCTGGGAAACCTCCGAATCCGGCCGCTCCTGCTCCCGATCCCTGTCGCCGAGTTTCTTCCTCCTAGAGAGAGAGAGGAGCACAGAGGAGGTTTAGAGGATGTGCCATTCTGTCCATTGACAGGTCAGGTCAGATCGGATCAACCCAGAGACATTCAGCATTAAAACAAAGCCAACCTCCAGGCCATTAGGTCACAGCCAACGTCAACTCCAACCGGATAATAATAACAATAATCCTTACATTTGATACAGCGCCTTATCACATCTTTGAGACGTCAATCGACTAACAACCGGGTTCCTATTTACTGCTGGGTAAACAGAGGCGTGTGTGTGTGTGGAGTAAGGAAACTTGCCCAACGTTTCGCCTAATGGAAATCAGGCGAGCGCTCTGACCAATGAGTTACAGGACTCCACTTAGGAACAGGAGGAGGCCATTCAGCCCCTTGAGCCTTGGTTAGGATTCAATAGACCCCCTTTACCATATATTATTACAGGGGCCTCGCTGAAATCACCATGTCATCTCTCTAAACAACCCCACTTACTTTCCGTGCCCTCTCATGTTCCTCCTTTGCCTTCTTCACCCTCTCCATTCGCTCCCGAACCGCCCTCTCTTCACGTTTCCTCTCGTACTTCCTTTTGTGGTCCACAATTTTCTGGGCCTGAAAACAAGTGTGTTTCACACTGAATTCCCCCACAAATCTCCCCATACAGTGCCTCCCCGCTACACAGGGCAGAGCCCAGAAGAGCAACGAACATCTAACAAGTAATATGGCTGAAACCCACGAATGCCGCTTGAGCTCCAGTGTAACATTTAACAGCATAGAAGGGTGTGGGAGGGAGTAATGAGCACTGGTTGGGCCGAGCAGCCTGTTTCCGCGCTGTACAGTATTTGTATATGTTTGTAAAATCTGGCACATTCGATTCATTTTGCCATGTCTTTTCAACCGCGCTGGCTGTCCTAATCTATGGGTGTCAGCCGTTTACCTAGACATCCTCAACATTGTTTCCAGAAGAGTTCCTTGCTGACTTATCACAGCCCCTTATACAGGGTAGCGCCCCGGAGCGCTTAACAGTGGCGAGCACAACACCAAGCTGGGGGGAGTTGACCGTAGGCACAGTCAAAGGCAAAGGTCGTCAGGGCACGACCTGAAGATGGGGAGGGAGAGGGGCAAGGCGGAGGGATAGAGGGAGAGAGAGAGAGTTCCAAACTGGCAAATTCAGGGACCAAATACGTTGAAAGCGCAGCCACCAATGGTGGAATGGAAGGAACGAGTGACAAGCAGGAGGCCGGAGCCAGTCGAGTGGAGGCAGCGGGTAGTGGGTTGGAGGTAAGCAGGTCAGAGCAGTAGGGAGGTGCCACTTACCCGTGGTTGGACCTCCTTCAGCATGCTGCTGGTGTCCTCATCATAGTCCAACTTACAGGCTGTGGCCAAGTCCCGGGCTGCTTCCTCCCAGTGTCCAAGAAGCCTTGTCCCGGGCAGAAGAGTACATAGTTAACAATTGATGACACTATCCGATCTCACACATCAAGGTTTGTTACTAGTTGTGGAATTTCTCTATGTCTAACACCTCAATGTTACACGATAATAAATAATAAGTAATAAATAAATGCAAATCCTTGCATTTGATATAGCGCCTTATCACGTTTGAGATGTCTCACAGGGCTCGACAGGATATACTGTAAAATGGAGTGTGTGTGTGTTTTGGGTGCGAAACATAGCAGCCAATTGCGTACAGAAGTGTCCCACAAGTAGTTATGGATTGAAGTGAGCGAGGGGGGGGGGATTTTTGGCCAGGACACCAGTAGAGAGAGAGAGAGAGAGAGAGAGAGAGAGAAAAAAACTCCCTTCTCTTTGGATTATTTGCATGGGATCTTTAATGTCTGCTAATATAGACCTATATAAAAAGGGAAGCTCAGTTTGTGTGTAATGACTGCCAAGGTCTTAAGCAGCTGGACAGCAGAGAATACATTTAGAGACAATAAGGCTGCTCATTATTATTCTCCAGGGTTAAACTTTCTGAACTAGATTTCATCCTATTATTTACCCTCAGTGGCAAATACAGTGACCATCAGTTTCTCTCCTTCCCCTCTCTCTTACAGTGTAATTACCAGCTCCTTTACCTGTGTGCTTTTCCCCTCCACTTGTAGGGCTGGGCTGAGTCGGGGTTGATGCTGATGGCTTTGTCACAATCCCGAATAGCACCGTTTGGCTTCTGCATTTTCACATACACACTGGAAAGAAACACCAGCGCACGTCTTAAGAGCACATTCACTCCTCAGAAACAATAAATGACAATTGTTTATCAGCCATCACCGTCGCAAAGATCCCGGGAGCGGAGGGTGCAGACGGGCTGATACGGTGTTCGGAGGTCGCAGAGGTAGAGGGGAGCGAAACCATAGAGGGCTTTGAGGGTAATGTTGAAAACACGAGCAGAGCGAACAGTGCAAAACTAAGATACAGCTTAACGCCCGTCAGCAAACATACCATTTCTAGACCAATTATGGACCCACCCTGAGATTACATTACACAGCCTCAAGGTAGTACATATTAGATCAGGGAGGCAGGTCCCAGTTCATATACAATTAGGTTTCCCTTTATTTTATCCTCTTTAAGATTATCTCCTGCAAATATGCGGGAATCCCCAAACCACTCAACGTACAGAAAAGTCACCTGGACTTTTCCTTCCAGCCTCCGGGCATCGCTGTCCTCCCCTGGAGACTGGCAACTCCCTCAGATCCGTGTTATCCCGAAGAGTAAGACCTCGTGTTCTCATGGGACACTATATTGGCGCACGGGACATTGAACATTTCCAGAACACGCCAGTGTACACAGCCCTTACCTGGCTCGTTTTGCAAAAAGAATGGCCGAATGTGGGTTCAGTTTAATGGCATCGGTGAAGAATTCCATGGCTTTCTCAAGATTTCCTGTGGGATCGAGAGAGAAAATGTCATGAGGGGAGCCTCTATTATTATACAATTATTGTTATACACTTATACGATTGGAATCCAGTGGTTTCAGTCCTTAAATCAGGACAACTCTCCCATCGTAAGGTGCACACAACACCAACAAATGATATTTACGCAGCGCCTTTCACGTCGGGAGGCTGTCCCAAAGTGCTGGACAGTCAGGGATCTGCACGCGAGCTTGGGGTTGGGATGAGGAGGAGTGGAAGGGAGGGTAGGGGAAGTGGGGTGACCGAAGGCACGGTCGAAGTGGGTGAGGCGAAGTGACCGTGGAATGGAATTCCAAAGGGTGGGGGCAGAAAGACCGCCGATGAACAACACTAGAAAACAGCCATTGCTGTCAACACGACAGCCAATCTGTGATGAGCAATGTTCCTTGCACCCTCCTACCCCACACCCCCCACCCCATATGACACACACGTACTTTCCCCTCACACAGACACACACAAATACATACGCTCCCCCACCCACACCCCCACACGCACCAGGTGTCCCAAAGCCTGTGTGCTTTGCATAAGAAGTCATCCAGTTAACATCTTATCTCTGACATCCAGATAGCACCTACCTTCACCTAGGGCATTAATGGCCTCCACTTTCTTCTCATTGGCCTGGTCCATCAGCTCCTCAGTTACCTGGAGAAACAAATTACAGGAGTCATCAAGTCCCCAAAGCTACTGAGCGGAGGCAGGTTTTGGTTAACCAGGTGTCTCGGTACACGTGGAAGCCCATCACTGTGCTTAAGAGTATGCAAACCAGACTGAGCGTGAACAGCTACCTGAGGACCTGTGCGCAAACTTATGCGCAAAATTGGCTGCTACGTTACGCTCACAAAATGCACAGTCACTACCACTCGACAGTAGTAGCAGAAACGTCTTGCAGACGTAAAAGGGCACTTTTGTCAAATGCAAAGATTATTATTATTATTATCATCATCCTCCTCCTCGGGACTATGAAAGCTACTTTGAGAAACGTAAGGGATAATCTCTTACCTCGAGATTTTCGTCTCCCATTTCCCGAAAATCTTCAGTATCTGGCTCAATCACTCCTTCATTATCAATCTCTGTGGAGAATAAGTGACACCTCCTTAAAAACCTGACTCTACACTTAAAGACCACAGCTTAGATTCAATCCCTTTTGAAAGTTGTGACTGAATCTGCTTCCAACCACCCTTTCAGGCAGTGAATTCCAGGTCGTGACAATTCAAGCTCAACTTACTGTATTTTTGGGGGGTCAGCCGGGGGGGGGGGGGGGGAGGGAGGGAGGGAGTCTGACACACTCGGAAACCCATCACAGTTACTCAAGTGTCTCCAAACCAAGATGAGAACTCCATGCCTCCCACCTACCCGTGGAAATCTCAGAGATGAATTGCTGGAATGGAATGCGCGTTCTCTCTCCCTAAAGGGATGAATCCTGTTTACCTAATTCCAGATGGCAGGATGGCAAGAACTTGGGGGGTGGGGGGGGGAGCACAGCTTGGCTCAACTTAACAACTGTAATATAACTTGAAACCATAGCTGGGGTAGGAGGGAGGAGCCCAGTGTTTTATGAAGGGGCCTTTGACGTGTTCAGCAGGTAACACTCACCGAGGTCACTCTCTTCACTCTCTGTGGGAAGCTCTGGCCCTGGAGACACATCAGGTTTCTCTTCTGCTTTTTCCTTCTGTACAAAACAGATTATTCAATTATTCATTGGCGGCCGAGCCTTCAGCCACTATGCCCCGAAACTCTGCAACTCCCCCTCTGCCTTGCCACCTTCCTTTCCATTTCTCCACCCTCCCTCTCCCTAGGGTCCAAATCCCTGACTGTTCTGTTCAGCGCCTTGGGTTGCCCTTTCGACGCGAAAGGCGCTATACAAATGCAATTTTGTATTGCATCTTCAGGCCTCTCCCTCACCCCCAGGTTGTGCTCCTGATATTGTCAAGGGCTGAAACACCACCCTGTGTGAGGGACTCTGTGTAAATGTAAGTTGTTGTATGAATTACGACAGCCACAAAACAAGCAGTGGGGGTGAAATTTGTTGAGTGACCAATTTTTTTTAAAAAAAACTCTTAAAAAAACAAATTGGGGAAGAGGCATTATTCCTACTCAAGGATACAGTTCTCATGAGGTTGTACAGTACAGCGTCTCATAACCCAGCTTCGTTACCTCCCCAAAACTCTCCCTTCCACCAAGGCTTCAGGAAACACACCAACCCTACAATATCCCCCACAGCAAATCCACACGCCTTACCTTTGGAGAGTCCATAAATTTCGGGTGCTCAGCTGCAGGAGGAATGGTGGCTCCTAAACTATAAAGGAAACGCACGTATGAATTTTAGTTTGTCACTCCAACATGGAAACACAGTTAGAACAAGGTTCAGTTGCATGTCTGAGGTAGAGTAATGGCTGAAATGCAGCAATGGGTCCCCAGAAACCTGAGGAACTTGCCTGCTGCCTATACGCTAAATGGACAGGTTGTAATTATGCACTTCACTAAAAGTAACTGTCACCAATACAATGAATTTCACATGGAATGATTGGCTTGAAATGCTTCACAATTATAGTGAGGGGCACCAAACAGGGAGAAGGGAAAGCGGAGTCATGTACCGTAGTGGTCAGAGGGATCGCCTCGCAAGCACCCGGGTTCTAGTCTCAGGTGGGGTGAAACCTTAGGTAAGTTTTCTTACTACACACACGCACCTCTGTTTACATAGCAGCAAGTAGGAACCCGGTTGTAAGGGACATTGCTGCGGCGTTTTGCCCACAAAATACACACTGAATTTCCTTTACAATATGGTCGGTGAAGCCCTTGGTGACATCTCAACGACACGATAAGGCACCATATCAAATGTAAGGATTATTAAAGAAAGGGCCGTTCGTCAATTCACTCGTCTGCCCTCCCTCGAGAGCGCGTCCAGGTAACAAAATTGTACAGGAATAAAATGTGCCTTGGTTTGTTACTGTGGCACACACCACGCAAGGCAATCCACAGCATTTGTGCAAGAGCACCTGTTGACATTCATTTCAATGGTCTGGGTCTTTAGTTAGCAAAGTGAATCAAGCAGCTGAAACAATGTGAATGAGAGGTGTTATTGTCTTGCACGTGTGGAACCCCACCACAAAGCGTACGAGTTCCACATAATATTCCATCTGCAGGTGGAAATTTCTGTATCCGTCCTGGAGTGGGTAAGAGCGGGGAGTGAGAATAGTCGGTGGCTCTTTCAAAGAGCCAACACAGGCACGAATGGCCTCCTTCTGTACAGTAAGATGGTAAATAATAATAATCCTTGCATTTGATATAGCGCCTTATCACGTCGTCTAGACGTCTCAAAGCGCTTCACAGAATATTCTGTAAAGTAAATTGACTGTATGTTTTGTGGGCAAAACACAGCAGCCAATTGCGAACAGTTGTGGATTGAGTGACCAAATTATTATTTTTTTGAAGGAATTATCGATCTGCCAATCGAAAAACAATCGGGTTCCTACCTACTGCTAGGTAAACAGAGGCGTGTGGGGTAAGGAAACTTGCTCAAAGTTTCTCCCCGCCGGAAATCAAACCCAAGTCCTCTGACTTGCGAGGCAGGCACTCTAACCACTAAGCTACAAGACTCCAAGATTCTATGAAAAGGATGGGTGGACAATTTGATCTTATACAAGACTGAGTGACACATATTTCCCCTGGTAAATTGCCTCTGCTCCATTCAGCACTAATCTGGGTCAGGCTTTCTGCAGAGCCAGAGATCTATCTATATTACAGCGTTGCTGAGAAATACCGCACAAGATAGAAGGGGAAAAAAAATCCCATTTATTCTAAATGTTCTGAAATCCGCAATGCCTCATTTGGTGTAGAAGAGGTAAGTGGATTATTCTGAATTTAAAAAAATCTCCCAATTTAAAAAAAATAATTCTGGTTACTCTATCCATGACTGTTTGTGGGACACTACTGTGTACAATTGGCTGCCACGTTTATTAATAATAATATTATTATTATAACCTCTCAAATCACTGACCAGGATAGCACAAAATGGGAGGAAAGCGATTTTGCCTGCCAACCTTTAATGTTTCTGACATCTGACCAACACGTTAGCCACTAACATCCTCCTCCATTAAAGACAGACGTGGTCCAAATGTGAGAAATTAAGATTTCATGACCCACTTTCCCGGACTGCAGATTCCACCTTTTGCAAACCAATCCCTTGTCGAGGAAATTACATAATCAAGTCGTGTTAAAAAAACAACTATCTTCAAGTCATCGTCTTTAACATCTCAAGGAGGGGGAAGACGTCTGATAGCAAGCGTGGGGGTGGGAGGGGGATTATGAGTTGGGGTGGGGGCTTAGGAACAGCAACCTTGTTTTTTCTGTTGAGCCCCTGCTTCTCAGCCTCTGCCTTGGGAGAGACAGAGGGGTCATTGGGTTGCCGTTAACCCTGCAAGCCAAAGCCCTAGAGGGTAGGGTGGTCCTAGCTGGACAAGCAGTGGGAAAGTTTATCAATGGCAAGCGATGTGGTTTTTAGCTGGTTAGACCCCAGCAGTTACCCCCCAAAGCACACTCTGGGCTCCCCACAAGCCTCGGCTCTCGCCAACCTGCGCCTAATACTTTCCGGAATTAGGTGAGCAGGGGGGCGTCCTGCCAGAGAGAGAGAGAGAGAGCGCATTTCATTCCAACAATCAATCTCTGGGATTGCCATGTGTAGGTGGGAGGCAGGGAATTCTCCGCTTGGTTTGGAGACACTTAAGCAACGGTGACGGGTTTCCACATGTCAGACAAAAAAAATTGTGTGTGTGGGGGGGGGGGGGGGGAGAGAAAGAATAGAATATGAGTTGGGGGTGGGCACTAGAAGTTATAAGGGGAGACTATGAGTGGGGGTGGGACCAGAGCCAGTAGACTTGTTTTGGTTATTATTATTTGGGCAGGCGACGGGGGCTGTGGGAGTGGCGGTGGTGGGGGGGGGGGGGGGGCTGGGGATCTGAGACATCTCGAAGCGCTATATCAAATGAGACTATTATTATGATAGCCTGGGGGGGGGGGGCGCGCGGAGACCATGAGGTAGAGAGGGTGGGTGGGGAAGAGGAGAGAGACGAGTTGGGGGGGGGGGGGGGATACGAGTTAGGAAAAGGGGTGGGCGGGGGAGGACGTTGCAACAAAAACAGTTGAGTGTGGGCGAGCGGGGTGTGGGGGGTGAGGGAAGAGAGGGAAATGGCGGTAAAAGCCTCCCACCCCTCATTCAGCCTCCCCCACCCCCCACACATGGCCCCTCACCCACACAGCCACTCACTTCCCCCCCCACACACAAACAGCCCCTCACCCCCCCCACACACAGCCCCTCACCCCTCACACACACACAGCCCCTCACACACACACAGCCCCTCACCCCCCCACACACAGCCCCTCACCTCCCCACCCCCACCACACATAGTCCCTCACCCCCCCCCATCCCACCACACAGCCCCTCACCCCTCCCACACAGCCCCTCACCCCCCCACACAGCCTCTCACCCCCCCAGACCCTCACTCCCCTCACCCCACACGCACAGCCCCTCATTCCCCCCCCTCACAGCCCCTCACCCCCCCTCACACACACACACACAAAACCCCTCACCCCCCCCCACACATCCCCTCACGCTCCGCCCCCACAGCCCCTCACACACACACACATAACCCCTGACCCCTGAGTTACCTCTCGAGCCACTGCTTGAAGAAGCTCAGCTCGGGCAGGTGCAGGACGGACGGGTTGCTCTGGCACAGCTGCACGAAGGAGCCGAGGTCGCGCACCTTCTGCGGGTCCATGACTGACCGCGCGGCCGTCTGGTCTCTCAGTGTGAGGCGGGAGGGCCTTTCCGCCCCTTTCCAGAACCTTCCTGCGCGGGCAGGGCTGCCCGGCGCGCCGCCTGACTCATCTCACTCCAACCCCCGCCCCACCCACACGCAAACCCCTCAAACTCCCACCCCACCCCCACCCACCCACCGTGAGCCCCCACCCCCAACCTGATTCCGCGCCACCCGGTTCCGTGGCCAAGCTCCCGCCGTTTCCTCTCGCCCTTCCACCCACCACCCTCTTCTCGGCGACCGGCATCGCCTCGGGCAGCCATTTCCTCCCGCCTCCCCGCGTCTAACCAATCGGGGGCGACGGCGGTCGGGACCGGCAGCCAATCGGAGCGCGGCGTGGTTTGGGGCGACGTCACGGAGACGGCGACGCGACCGGCGGAAGGACCCCGAAAGGGCTCCATGGGGCAACGAACAACATGGCCGCCTCTTAGAAGCGAATGGCGAGGGAAAGGGAAAAATAGTTTTTATTCCTTCATATTGAAGCGATTTCCCACCAGTTTACAAGTCCAAAGTGACCAGACCAGCCCCATCCCATAAAAAGTCCCGAATTTAGCGGGGCTCCGTCGTGCCTTTAGAAATAACTTGTCAATTGGGTGCAAATGACCCCCTCCCCCCCAAAAAAAAAGGTTTATATGTACCAAAACTTATTTTAACTCAAAAACTATGTTCGCCAGGACAGTGAGACAGATCAGTGGTGTGGCGAGGAATTCTAGGATGCAAGGTCAGCATTTCTCTGGTCACCCCCACCACTGGCTTTTTAATGTCTTCCCCCCCACCCCCTCATCACCTTAACATCCCCTCCTTCCACCCCCCCCACCCCCACCCGCCCCCCAATTCAATGGCTTTCGATTAAATTTTTCGCCTCCGCCAAGCGCACGGGTCGCTCCGCTCGACGGTACGTTCGGCCGAGCGCTTCGAGACGTCTCGGTGACGCGACAAGACGTCTCGAACGCAGCAGCAGCGATTTATTATGGTTATGACCCCCCCCCCACATTCACACACACTCTCTCTCTCTCTCTCCCCTCTGTTCTCTCACGCCCCGCGTCTCACCCGCAAACCAGCAGAGGGTCTGGTGTCCGTCCAGGCTGCGGTTTGCGAGGGTGGGGTGGGGGGGGGAACGTCCCCGTGTGCAAATCGCCCGCAAAACACACACCGGCTCCACTTTACGGTAAAATCCTGATGCGGTCCTGCTTTTTCCAACAAAATGCACGGTCGAGCCACTTCACATTATATCCCGTGAAGCGCTTTGAGGCGTCAACAACAGTTTTAAGGCGGTATATCAAATGCAAGGAATATTAGTGAGACATTGCAAATTAGCTCTTCCGTTTGCCTACAAATTGTAGAGTCACTTCGCAGTAAATCTTGTGTCTTTCTGATGTGAAATACTTATTATTATCAGGAAGCTAAGTTGCAATATTACGCTATGCCTCCGTTCATTCCTCCCAGGGTGTGCTGCCTGCCTCCGGAGGCAATTCGGTATAAAGCCTGTTGAACATAAGAGGTTTCCCCTTCGCTATCTCGGGCAGCCCAGCCCCTTCACACACCCTCATCTCCTTAAAGCAGGTAAAGTGAATAACTCACTCACAGTGACACTGAAACCAACCAGCCACACCAGCATGTTATATCAAGCCCCACATCAGTCTAACCTGACGCTCCAATGCATCTCTAGGGGTGCGTTGTATTGTTGGGGGAACTGTCTTTTGGATTAGACGTTAAACCTGGGTCTCGCCTGTCTGTTCAGGTGGATGTTAAAGATCAGGTGGCACTATTCTCCAAGTCTCCTGGCCAACAATGCCCCCAATGAAAAAAAAACGTTCACTCACTTCATGGCTGTTGGTGGGAACGTCGCTGTGCGCAAATTGGCTGCTGCGTTCATCGTCAAAACACGTCGCACAAGACGTCGCATTTTACAGCGTATCCTGTGAAGCGCTTTGAGACGTCCTCGGTGACATGATAAGGTGCTGTATTAAATGCAAGGATTATGAAATCCTGTGAAGCGCTTTGTGACGTACCCCCTGACGTGAGAGGCGCTGGATAGAATGGAAGGGTTCTTCTTATTGTCATATCACAGAGCGGTTTGTGCTTGACTTGCAGATGAGGTGACCCCAGGATTGACGCAGACAGAATACGCCCTGCGTCGTCACAAGCTGATGAGCCTCGTCCGGCAAAAGGCCGAGACCCTCGGATCATCCGAGCAGGCGGTCATTGTCCTGTCCAATCCCACCTACTACATGACGAATGACATCCCCTTCCCCTTCCACCAGAACACCAACTTCCTCTACCTCTGCGGCTTTCAGGAGCCTGACAGTATCCTGTTGCTGCACAGCCACCCCGGGAGCAGCCTGGCTTCCCACAGAGCCGTGCTCTTTGTCCCCAGGAGGGACCGGAGCCGGGAGCTGTGGGACGGGCCGCGGTCCGGGGTTGACGGGGCGGTTGCTCTGACTGGGGTGGAAGAGGCTCACAACACCGAGGACTTCAGAAACTACGTACAGAAATTTAAAGGTTGGTCATGTGGAGCTAACCAGCAGCTTGTTCTTATACAGCGCCTTAATTTAGAGTCCGTTGCAGAGCGCCTTTAAGAAAATATAATAATCCTTGCATTTGATAGCAACGTAGGAACAGGAGGAGGCCATTCAGCCCCTCGAGCCTGTTCCGCCATTCCACTTAGATCACGGCTGTGTTGCAGAGGAGGGCTGCACCGTGTGGTACGACCAGGAATCGGTCGCTCACCCGAAGCTGCACCAGGATTACCTGGAGCCTCTGGTGCGGGTCAAGAGCAGCAGCGAGAACCGGATCCAGCCCGTGAGGACCCTCATCCAGTCTCTACGGCTCGTCAAGTCAGCCGCCGAGGTCAGGTTGTTGACCACAGCTGCAGGGATCACCTCAGAGGTAGGAAGCTATAAGAGGGTCTTGTGGTGGAGATAAGGTTCAGGGTCTTTCCTGCTCCATCCGTCCTACAACAACCACTTGCGTTTACATAGCAGGCTTTAATGCCGGGCATCTTGAGGCAATTAACAGTGGTGGAGCCTGGGTGGGCAGGTGACAGATTGGGCTTGAGGGAAGGCGGTGAAATGGAGTTAGGAATATCGAGGGCTGGAGAGTCGGAATGCTTCACAGCTGTTATTTCACAGGGTGTATCTGTGTCTCTCCTCTCCTGCCTTCACCCCCCCCCCACGGAAAGATTAATAACATTAATTAATCCTTACGTTTGATATAGCTCCTTTCACGTCAGGAGGACGTCACAAAGTGCTTCACGGGAATTACTGTATAAAGTGCAATGACTGTGTGTGTTTTGTGTGCGCGATTTGTGGGTGAATGTCTCAGAAACAGCCACAAAGTGAGTGACCCATTTTATCCAGGGAATTGTCGGCCGGGGAGACCAAGAAAGAGAAATTCCCTTCTCTTTTTGAATAGTGTTACGGAATCTTTAACGTCCACCTGAACAGGGGAACGTCTCATCTAAAGGATGATAAACGACAAAACCCTCTGTTTGTCCACAGCTGTATTTCAGTTAGGGAGATTCTCTGTGTTGTATTTAAGTGTTGATTTCTACCCCTGCTGTTCATTGCAGGCTTTCATCAATACAATGGCTTCTTCCAAGGTACCAGTCGAAGAGTCCTATCTGTACGCAAAGGTGAGCTGTGCTGAGTTAGGGGTAGAGTTCGTTTCTGTGTATTTGGGGAGACAACAGGCAGTGGATCAGGACAGGGAACCATGTGAAGGTGGAGTCGTTTTCCTGGCTCACAGCCTTCCTCTTCGACCGCATCTTTGGTTACCCACCTACCCCCACCTTCCCTGCCCTCCACCCCTGCTGATCCCAACCCCCAGCTAGGGTCTAAATCGCTGACCTGACCTGTCAGCGTCCTGACATATAATTTGTTGTTGTTGTGGATGATCGCCCGCAGTTTGACTTTGAATGCCGGGCTGGAGGGGCGGATTTCCTGGCTTACCCACCGGTGGTTGCTGGGGGCAACCGGTCTAACGTGCTGCACTATGTGAAAAACAACCAGACGATTAAGGTAAGGACCCGAGCCTTGTTTTTCTGAAGATACATCTTTACGTTGGGAATTTTTCAGGTTTTTTTTTGCACAATCATTCGTGGAGTCCTGTAGTGTAGTGGTTAGAGCGCTCGCCTCGCAAGCAAGAGGACCCGGGTTTGATTCCTGGGCAGGATGAAACCTTAGACAAGTTTCCTTACTCCACACACACGAGTATCCAGCAGTAAGTAGGAACCTGGTTGTTAGTTGACTGGCAGATTGCTTTTCCGGGGGTATAACCTTAAAAAAAACTCAATCCACGGCTGTTTGTGGGAAACTGCTGTGCGCAATTGGCTGCCATGTTTCGCCCACAAAATATACAGTCAATTCACTTTACAGTGTATCCTGTGAAACACTTTGAGACGTCTCAACGACATGATCAGGCGCTGTATCAAATGCAAGGATTATTATTGTTATTATAATAGAGTGGAGGAGCAGAGAGACTGAGGGCGGGGGATACAGAGACATGATCGAATTTTACGATTTCCCCAAACCTAACACTTCTCACCCGTGGTCTTGTCAGGACGGAGAGATGGTGCTTCTGGATGGCGGCTGCGAGTACTTTGGTTACGTCAGTGATGTGACTCGCACCTGGCCCATAAATGGCAGGTGAGTGCCGGGCTGGCAGACGAGAGCTGGCAAGTCGCGGTCGGTCCGTTAGCCTCGCCTCTGGACACCGAGGAACAGACACAGCCGAGCTACAACACAAAACATTTTTTTTTTTTTACTTTACTCACTCACTCCATGACTGTTTGTGAGACGCTACTGTGCGCAATTGACTGCGACGTTTCGTCGTCCACAAAACACTTTACAACACTCTATATCCTGTGAAGCGCTTTGAGAAGGCTCTCAATGACGTGATAAGCCGATTTTTCAAACGCAAGGATTATTATTGTTACATTTACACCCAGTAACTTTCTCATCGAGGGGGACGGAGGGGGTCTGTGGGAATCAAGGGTGTTTGTTTTTCTCCCTGATGCCTGTTGGATAAAATCGAGGTCCGATTTCGGGGTCGAAACCTTCTAATTCTGCGTAAGGCGTAATCTTGTCTTTAAAGAGGCTCGTCTGATGCTCTGTGCTGTGTGCAGGTTTACTGGGCCACAGTCGGAGCTATACCAGGCTGTCCTTGATGTTCAGAAGTCCTGCCTGAGTCTCTGTATGCCTGGCATCACCCTGGATGGTATCTATGCCTACATGCTCGCCCTGATCAGTAAGAAACTCAGCGAGCTGGGCATTGCGAATGCTGGCTCCAAGCAACTGGATGTCTACAAGGTAAACAACAATAACTCATATTCATATAGCGCACCTCACACGGGATAACATCTCGCAACGTTTAACAGTGACGGAGCACGACGCCGAGCAGGGGGGAGGTGACCGTAAGCACGGTCGAAGAGCGAGGTCTTCAGACATGATCTGAAAAAGGCGAAAGAGGGTGAGGTGGAGGGATTGAGGGAGAGAAAGACAAGAGTTTCGGGGCATAGTGGCTGAAGAGGGTGGGGAAGAGGGACCAGCAGGAGACCAGAGCCAAAAGGAGGCAACGGGTGGTGGAGTTGGGGAGTGAGCAGGTCGGTGAGGTGCCAGGACGCGAAGGGATTTGTAGACAAGCGAGAGGATGTTTCCGGCAGTGCAATTTGCCATTAAAATGCTCGCTCCTCTCGATTCTCTCTCTCCCTCTCTCAGGGCGCTCGCAAGCTGTGTCCACATCACGTGGGCCACTACCTGGGAATGGATGTGCACGACACACCAGACATGCCCCGCTCCGTGCCACTGCAGCCGGGGATGGTGCTGACCATTGAACCAGGTAAGAGGGTAGGAACGTAGGTGAATGCAGCAACCCGCAGGGCTAACCTTAGTCCTCTGGCATCTGCACCAACAACATTTGTATAATACCCTTTGTGTGGGATAGCGTCTCAGAGCGTTAAAACAGTGGCGGAGACCGACACTGACCCGGGGAGAGGGGGAAGGTGACTGTAGGTGCGGTTGAAGAGAAAGGTATTTTGTAGGCGAACCCAACCATCAATTTGCGCACAGTAAAGTCCTCACAAATGGCCATGGAGTGAGTAACCATTTTTATTTGGGAGCTTGTTGGCCAGGACACCGAGAGAGAGAGAAACTCTCTTCCCTTTTCTAATGGCACCAAGGGATCTTCAACATCCACCTGAACAGGTACAGACGGGGAGCTCAATTTAACATCTATTCCAAAGGACGGCGCCTCTGACAATTTAGTGCTCCCCCCACACACTAAGCTCAAAGTCCCCGACTTGGGGCCTTGAACCCACAACCTACAGACTCCAAGGCCAGAGCGCTACAGATCGAGCCAACAACAACAAAAGACATTTATATAGTCCCTTTCACGTCGGGAGGACGTTCCCAAGGGAGTGGGACAGTCAGGGCGCGGTTCAAGAGGTGCATCTTGAGATGGGACGATTGATACAGACGCTCTTCTTTGTACCTCAGGGATCTACATCCCGGAAGACGAAATGTCCGTCCCGCAGAAATTCAGAGGTTTGGGAGTGAGGATCGAGGACGATGTGTTGGTGACGGAAGAGGGACCGGTCGTTCTCTCTGCGTCGTGTCCCAAGGAGCTGCTGGACATCCAGGAGATCTGTCTGCGGAGCTAGTGGAGTGTCCCATTCCCAGGCACTCTCCTCACTCGCTCTCAATGGTGCAAAACTCCGATCCAGGCTGTCGTTGGAGTCCTGTAGCGTATTGGTTAGCGCTCTGCTCGCTAGCGAAAGGACTTGACTTTGATTCCTGGGCAGGTCAGGGCGAAACCTTAGGCAAATTTCCTTACACACGTCTCTGTTTACCCAGCAGTAAGCAGAAGCCCGGTTGTTTGTCGATTGGCTCTCCCGGGGGGGGTAATAATCCCTCCAAAAAACAATATACATGGTGACTCAATCCACGACTGTTCGTGGGACACTGCCGGCTGGCGCCACTGTAATAAAAGGGACAATAAAATGACATTTTATTGGATAAAAGGAAATAACAAGAAATTCCCGAGAAAACAATACGAAAAAATTATTTATAAGGTGACACGGTTTTCGTGGGGTTCAAATCGTTACGTATTCTTCTAATAAAACCTATTAAAATGGAACGAAGAACGGAATTCTGCAACTTCTTCGGCGTTCCTCTCCGCCGGTGTCCGGGCCGACGCAATCCCCCAAATAAAAATCGGCCGCTCGCTCCGCTGACGGTCCGATACACTGATCCTCGGGACGTCCTCCCGACGCCAAAGGCGTTGGACGCAAAGGTCATTTTGTTGTTGTGGTCGTCCGCGGCCGTTTGCGGGACGTGGCGCGGAGGCGGGTCAACTGGGAGTCGAGGCGCGCAGATCGGCCGTGAGCTAAATAGAATGGCCGGACAGGCTCGAGGGGCTGAATGGCCTCCCCCTCTCTCTCTCCTGCGCCTCCTGTGCAGGTGATGAGATGACGATGGTGGTGCTGATGCTGAGGAGGTTCCAGGTGCACTGGTGAAGCTGAATGGGTTGAATGGCCTCTGACGGTGCAAGTGCAGCGCGGACAGTGGGGGGCCGCCAGGTGGCGCTGTGCGGGGCGGGCGGGCGCCACTGAGCGTGCGCGGCGGCGACGGCGGTGGTGGGGAGGAGGGGCCGCCAGGTGGCGCTGTGCGGAGCGGGCGGGCGCCACTGAGCGTGCGCGGCGGCGGCGGCAGTGGTGGGGAGGCGCCGCCAGGTGGCGCTGTGCGGGGCGGGCGGCACTGAGCGTGCGCGGCGGCGACTGGGGGGGAGGGGCGGCCAGTGGAGCAAGATGGCGGCGGCGATGGATGTGGACGCTCCCAGCGCGACGAACAGCGGCAGCAAGAAGCGGTTCGAGGTCAAAAAGGTCTGAGGCGGGAGGGGGGCCCCGGGGCCGCGGGAGAGGGGGGGTTTGTGCGGCCGAGAAGTTAAAATAAACAGACGGGGATTTTTGTTCCCCCACAAAAAGGCCACCGGAAGTGGGAGCAGTGACTCTCTCTCTCTCTGTCTCTGTCTTTCTGTCTATCTTTCTCTTCTCTCTCTCTCTCTGTCTCTCTTTCTGTCTATCTTTCTCTCCTCTCTCTTCTCTCTCTTTCTGTCTATCTTTCTCTTCTCTCTCTCTTTCTGTCTATCTTTCACCTGTCTCTCTCTCTCTCTCTCTGTTTTGTCTCCTTCTGTCTCTCTTTCTCGCCTTTATTTCTCTCTCCGTCTCTTTCTGTCCATCTCTCGTCTTTATTTCTCTTTCTGTCTGTCTGTCATTTCTCTCTCTGTCGTTCTCTGTCTCTCTCTCTCTCTATATATATATATATTTCTCTCTTTCTGTCCGTCTTTCTCTGTCTCTCTCTCTCTCTTTCTGTCAGTCTTTTTTTGTTTCTCTCTCACTGTCTTCTTTGTCTGTCTGTCTGTCTCTCTCTCTCAACAACAACAAGATTCCATTTATAAAGCGCCTTTCACGTCAGGAGGACGTCCCAAGACGTCCCTCTCCCTGTTTCTGGACTGTCTGATGTCTGCGCTGAGTGCTTTCGGATATTTTGATTGCGCGCCTCAAATAAACGCCTCACCTCTTGCGATGGGGTGGTTTGTTTGTGTTCTTCGCTCACCTGTGTTTGGTGCTGTGAGTCAGCACATCTAAACCTCGTGTGCGACGGGTGAAACACAGTTGACTGAAGGCTACTAAAGGATTTGGAAGTGGAATGTTTTCCGGGCCAAAGGCACTCTCTCCCACAGGGTTCTTGGATCTTCACTTTGTTAAATGGGGGCAGTGAACCCTCCCACTCAGCTCCTGTCAACCCCGCGAGCCGAAGCCCAAACGGGTAGCCCAGCGGGAAAGCTTGGCCAGACAGCGCTCTCGATGGGCAAGCCGTGTGGTTTTAGCTGGTTAGACTCCAGCAGTTACCCCACGCACACTCTGGGCTCCACTCCCCCACCTCACTGAGAGTTGGCTCTTGCCAACTTGTGCCTAATACTTAGGAAAGCAGAATGCGTCTCTCCAGGGGGAGAGAGAGAGAGAGCATTCCACTCCAACCGTCAATCTCTGGGATTTCCACGTGTAGGTGGGATGCATGGAAATCTCAGTTTGGTTTGGAGACTTTTAAGCAACGACGATGGGTTTCAGCCAACCACCCAGTTGACCCCAACCCCCCCACCCAAAAAAGTCTTACCTTTTGCCACTCACTCGAGTACATCACTCGAAGATTTCTTTGCGTCTGCTTTAGTCCTCGTCACCTCCTCTTCCTCACTGGTCTGTGTTTTATTCCTTCTGTCTGCAGTGGAATGCGGTTGCTCTGTGGGCCTGGGACATCGTGGTGGATAACTGTGCCATCTGCAGAAATCACATCATGGATTTGTGTGAGTACCTGTGAGCAAGGGATTGAGAGCAAGAGAATTCTAACTACACCGAACCCGCGGCTACCAGAATAATAGGGGGGTGGGGGGGAGATCATATCTCTGGTCCGACAAAGCCGTTTTTTTTGGCCGACTGCTCAACCTAATCTCAGATATTTAAAATAAATTTAAGTAAAAAATAAATCCTCCCTAACATTTAAAATTAAAAATGCCTTAAGGATGTCCTGGCGTCGCGAAATGAGCTATATATACAAATGTAAATTTTTTGACAAATTTTAAATAAAATAAAATAGATCAACAATAGTTCTGTTCTCACCACTGGTGAGAGGCAGCTCTGTTGATGCCCACGGATAAACCGATCAGTGTCAAACTGTGGGCATCACGTAGGCTGGTGGGAGTTTGAAAACGTGGGGTGGGCTATCGAAGCGCGGAAATATTTGTCAGACCTTGTCCTGGTCCGTCTTATTCCGAATACTTGGGATCCGGACAGCCGGGGTTTACTGTAATGAGTAATAATCCTGCTAATCAGTAAGAATGTTCCCCGGTCGGGCATCACTGTTTCGGGCTTAGTTGCAATGCCTCTCTCTCTCTCCCCCCACCCAATCAAATTATCTTCTCATATTCAAAGCCTCGGGCTTTCTCAGAAAGAGCCGGGTGTATAACGTACTCTCTCTTCTAACCTACAGGTATAGAGTGTCAGGCAAACCAGGCTTCAGCTACTTCAGAGGAATGCACTGTGGCCTGGGGTGTGTGTAATGTAAGTGTAGAAACATCAATGGTTCATTCAGCCCATTTAGTTGATGACCTAAACTGGCAGTTACCAGCTTACTGTACATTTCTCTGGACTCTAACCCGCCTCGTTCCTCTCTTGCAGCATGCTTTTCATTTCCACTGCATCTCACGTTGGCTGAAGACCAGACAGGTCTGCCCTTTGGACAACAGGGAGTGGGAGTTCCAGAAGTAAGTGTGGTTACAGTGTGCAGAGGGGCTTCATCCAGTTAATACAGGGGAGGCGCCTTTCACAGGTGGTTGTGTTTAGTGTGCTGGGCCTTGACTGAATGTTACAGCCTATTGGATCCCACCTGTATCTTCCAGTGGGATATATAAGAACCACAGTCATAGCTGTCTTCATAGGGGTGACACAGAGGGCTAGAGGGTGGGAGGCATAGGTTAGAGGCATAGGAGCTGAAAACTCAGGCAATGATGGTGGGGCGGAGAAGAGTAGAAGATAGAATATTGGAGAGATGAGGAGGTGCCGGGAGAGAGCTGATGGATTTGTAGGTGAGGATAAGGAACCTTTAAATCTATCTGCTGGGAGAGAGAGGCCATATTGTACCCCACTAATTAAAACTAATTGCTTTCTCTCTTTCTATTTTCAGGTATGGACATTAGATAAAAAGATACCATTTGTTTAGCGACCTCCGCAGTAACCCTTCTCCTCCACGATATCCTGACCTGTGTTCGGCGTTCCACCCACTCTAGCCCAGAGTTTGGCAAGGAAAACTTGTGACACACACCGTGCTGTCCAGTAGTCAAATTTGTGTATTGTAATAAACACAAATATCAGAAATGTGTTTAGTTCTGTTCCTGGAGGGAGGGAAAGCATTATTCCGCAGGCGTTTTATTTTTGTGACGTCCCCTCCAGACTCCAAAGCACTCACAGGCACGGGAAATACCAAGGTCCAACTGATCCCTGTACTGAAATGTATTTAATTTAATAAAAACCTGTTTGAAAAAGAATATTTTGTCATGTTTTGGAGGTGGGAGGGGTGGGGGGTGGTAACTGTGAGCAACGTCTGACCACTTTGCGGGGACGTTGCTGTGCACAAACCGGCTGGAGCATTGGCCCACAAAAGTAACTGCGCGTTACTGAAATCCCGTGGAACGTTCAAAGACGTTTCAGCGACACGGTAAAGGCAGAAGATCAAATGGAAGCATTATACTGCACTCTTTGGGCTTGGATTATATATTATATTATACGCCGAATCTGCTGAGGCGAATCAATTTCAATTCACATTTGATGAACCTCGAACACCACCACCGCAGACTTACAATAGCGTCTTTCACATCAGGAAGACGACATCCCAAGGCTCCGGCTCCGGCTTCTCGTGCGGGTTCCTTATACGTTAGAGCAATATAGAGCGCGTCACTCGGGGTATCTGGAAGGGTATTCCAGAATCGCTGAGGGACACTGCTTCGCGCAAACCGGCTGCCGCGTTGCACCCACGAAATACACAGTCAATCCGATGACGCGCTTTGAGACGTCTCCACCACGCGACGTCGCGGCACGATGTCGATCGCAAGTATTATCACCAAATGCGAAGATTATTATCGGATCAGAATCCTACACTACCCTTTCAGTAGATCTTTTTTTTTACTTCGACAACGTTCGAGGAGTTAAACTGTCCCGGGGGGGGGGGGGGGGTGGGGGGGCTGTCGTAATCTCAATAAACAGCAGCCAACGTTAAGTGTAACACACACTGGGCAGGGAGGGAGGGAGGGAGGGGGGGAGGGTGCGTGGGTGGGGGGTGTGGGGGTAAAGGGAGAAGTAAAATAACATGAAAATGTCCTTTTCACAGTGTTTTTTCACCTGACGCCGGTACGGAGGTACACCGCGTTTGAAGCCCAGGGCGGGGCGGGGAGGGGGGAGGGTTATTAGAAAGGTACGGTTTGTTGGGCGGCGGTGGGGGTAAAAAAAAAAAATTTGGGGTGGGAGGGCGGGGGGGGGGGGGGAAATCTACCTCTAAAAGGGGAAGGGAGTTTCAGTCGCTCGGGAGGAACCCGTGAACAAAGGATCAAGTCTTTCTCCCGCTTTTTTTTGGGGGGGGGGGTTGGAGGGGGTAAAGGGCCAATGGCAACAAAGTCACCAGTCGGGGTTTAAATGGATACTTTTTCCCGCCAAATGTCTGGCACTCTAATACATTACAGCTGTGAACCACACGTGGTTCCATGGTGTAATGGTTAGCACTCTGGACTCTGAATCCAGCGATCCGAGTTCAAATCTCGGTGGAACCTGTTCGTTTTTCCCCCTTACTCTCTGCCATATATATTACGCGTATATTATATTACACACATATACATATATATCTATTTATGGATCTATAGATACGCAAATTTAAATAACCGTTCAAGTCGTCTCAAAGGGACGGTAATGAATCGTAAAATAAAAATCAATAGTAACGGGCTCGCTCGATCCACAGGTGTCCGTGGGACGCTGCCGCGCGCCTTTGGCGACCGCCTTTCGCCCGGAAAAATAGTCGATTCATTTTACAGCAATATTGTAAATTGAGGCGTCTCACTGACGTGATACATCAAATGGAAGGATTATTACAACAACTATGAATGGCTTTGATCTCCCCCCCCAAACAAGTATGAAACATGTATTTGGGAATTTTCTTACATCTGAAACGTTTTTACAAGGATTCGGGGAATTTTTCTGTCCCCAAGTCCTTGCCACGGTGTCAGTTCCCTCCCTCCCCCCCCCCCACCCGCCCGATAAAATTTGGCATCATAGCTTACACGTACTGTATGTTCGTATCTTTTACCAATCATTAGGATTATTATTAATATAATAATCCCTGGTTTGAGGGAATTCGGCACAAAGGAGGGATATTGGAAAGGACCCCGAATCTTAGCTCACCTCAGGGTGTTGTTGAAACAAAGAGTGGAAACAGCCTGTACGGGTGGATGTTAAAAGATCCCACAGTGCTGATCTAAAAGAGTTTCTCTTACCTGGTGTCCAGCCCAACGATCCCCTGAATACAATTGGTCACTCACTCCCTGGTTGTCTGCGAAACGGGCCGCCGCGCTTCGCCCACCAGCTACTCACACGAGAGCTCGTCTGCTGACCAGCACGGACAGATAGAGACAGGTAACCGGCGAGTCAGCGAGCGCGACGTCTTTAACTTTGGGCTTGAACCTGGGTGAGAGCGCTGCTAGCGAGTCAAGGACACTGCACCTCTAACAAACGCACGTCCGCATGAGCTTCGGACTACGTGATTCCAAGTCCCAACACGGGGCTTGAACCGACAACCTCCTGACTCGAGAGAGAGAGAGAGAGAGAGAGGGGCGAGAGGGCTACCAACCGAGTCACTCCGCCGGTGGCACTTTGTGGGTCGTTCCAGCGACACGATAAAGCGCTACGTCAAACGGATGAATTTATCGTCGTTAAAATCTAATCACTTGGAAAATGCTATCGTAGTATCTCCTCCACCTCTTCTGAAGAGCGACCCAGACCCGAGTTGCGGAAACACCACGCGATCTCCAGTGGGTGTTCTTCAGGTGTTGAAAGTGGACAGTTTGTGATAGCAGTCATTTGACCAAAGGGGACGAGGGCTATCGAGGCAAGTCCAGTTGTGTCCTGGCGAATAATCTTCTAGGTAACTTGGGACATTCACTTCATGCTCATACACAGATAGTCCTTCCACTTGACAGCATAGTCTCTGTGAGGCATTGAACGTTACAAACACTGTACGAAATGCATATACAGTAAAACTAAATCATACCATCGCCCAAGTCGTACATCTGCCCAGGTCCCGTTGAATTTCCTATTATTTCTACGTTCCACATACTCATACTTTGCACAAGTCATATTAAATATATCGCACCAACCGATACAAACTTTGTGAGGTTTACTGTACATTATTATTATTATTATTATTAATTATCCGGTTACACACTTTTCCGCAGATACCATTAAATCGCAAGCAGTAGAAACGTGGGCAGATTCTTTCCCCAGTCGCACCGCTGTGGATTGATCTGACCTAACCCCATCCCCAACTTAGACAAGCTACTTCACATCAGAACAAAGTTCAGGGTCTGCGTGCTTCAACAACACATATTTACACAGCGACTCTCATGTCGAGAGGACATCCCAAGGCACCGAACAGTCAGGGATTTTGACCCGAGCTGGGGGTTGGGATCAGGAGGGGTGGAGGGCAGCAGGAGGAGGGTAGGGGTAGGAGGGTGACTAAGCGTAGTCACAAGGAACAAAAAAAATGTGATCACTCAATCCACGACTGGTTGTGGGACACGGTTCACGGTGACAATGACAATGAGATAAGGCACCATATCAAATGCAAAGATTATTATTATATCATTATAATAATCTCCATCATCCTCTGATACTTTACACCAAACATGAGTGAAGCCAATTGCTAAGTATACTAATCAGAGTGATAGGCACTGGATAAATCCAGGAAGCTCGCAATGGTTTTCACTGAAAAACTAAACCACTTTCTTTCTTCTCTGTGGGGTTGTTAAGAGTCAAGGCTCCTGTTTGCCAACGTCAGGAACTTGTTATCCACCGACCTGGGAAATGTGGCCAATAATCTTCCAAATCCTGTCCGCCAAAAAAGAAAAATGCACTTTTATTTCACTTTCTCCCGACAACATAGGCGAAGAAAGCGTGGATTAAAAACAGGCAGTGACACTGTTGCACACAGTTTATTCAACAATATGGTAAATAAGAAAGAAATCAATTTGAGCAGTCTATACAGTGATCCAAAGTTCGTATTTATAATTATCAATAAATTGCATGATTTACACGGTTTCAAGATAGGGTTTTTTTTCCTTTTTTTTGCTTGCCCATTTGTTTTTTCAAGTTTTACACAGAAGTCTCAAAGAGGAAAAAAAAACCAAGAGATGTGTTCAATAAAATCAGCCACACAGTTCTTTCTCTTCTCCTAAAGGATCCTTCGAGAAGTCTCACCAAAAAAAAAATAAGTAAAATCGTCACCAAGAAACTGAAACAAACTCCCTCCCACCCACCCCCCCAACCCCCCCACCCACCCCCAACAATATTCTACATCCGCAGGACGTTTAATTTGGCAGCTGCCAGTTTGTGCAAGTCTCTCGATCTAACTGTACAAATCAGTAATACTTGAAATTTCTGCTCAAACCCTTTGTATAGAAGTGAAAAAATTAAGGGAGAAGGAAGGAGGGTAAAGGGTGGGGTTACCAGGTACAAGAGGTATTGGAATTTTCACTGTCAAAACGGTCATGTAATCGAACCTGGACGCAGGCCTCATATTTTTTTTTTTTCCCTTCTGTGTGAAATGCTTTGTGTTAAATGGACAAAAAAATGCTTACAAGATTTTCTTTCGGAAGTTAGAAAATAAAAATATGAATTCAACTCTCCTTTTTTTTTCTTAAAAAACGTAAGTCCTTGGGCTGTCCGCAATTGGAATTGAAAAAAAAATAAAAATAAAAACAGAAACGGGGGTTGGGGGGGGAGGGAGGTGGGTGGGGGGGGGGTGGAGAGGGGGAAGAAAAAAAAAATGAAAATAAACCGAAACGGAAAAAAAAAAATGAAAACAAACGAACACAGGGACTGACTCTGTGGTCACTCCGGCCGTCAACAAAAAAATATATTCTTTTGTATAATATCCCTCGTTTTTTTTTCCTCTCTCTCTCTCTCTCTCTCTCGCTCTCTCTCTCTCTTTCGTCTCAATAAATCGAGTTCGCTGAATTCCTGGGATTGGGGGGGAAAAAAAAATAGTCCTCCCGAGAAAATTCAAAACGTTTTTTTTTGTTAATTCAGTACAAAAGCCCTAAGGAAAGACGAGGAAAAAAAAAAAAAATTGGGGGAGGAATTAGCTCCCAAAATGCTACAAGATGTCTAGTGTATTGTGATTAATGTTTGTGCCCGTCACGTCTGGGTTGTCCGAACCCAAGCCAAGGTCGTTGGGGGCCCCGTGTAACCCGGCCATTCCAGGGTTGGCGAGCTGAGAGAGCATCGCGCTCTGGTCCGGAGCGGAGAAGTGTCCTTGATCCATGGGGTTGGCCTGGCCGCCCACCATTCCCGGGTGCGGGGAGTTAGTCTGTGGCGAGACGCGGTGTGGCGAGGGCTGAGGCTGCATCCTGGGCGAGGGGCTGGAATGAGGCGGCTGCGACTGCGGGCGGGGCGAGGGGACGGGCTGGGGCGAGCGGACCTGGTTGCTGAGCGAGGATGGGTGCTGGCCCTGGAGGTGCGGTGATTGGGCCTGGCCCGAGAGCATGTGCTGCTGGGGGCTGATGGGGTTGGGCTGGGCGGATGAGCCCATCTGTTGTTGTTGCTGCTGCTGTTGCTGCTGCTGCTGCTGCTGCAGAAGTCGCTGCTGGAGGGCCTGCTGGAGGCTGGGGTTGCCCTCGGCTCCCATCGCCCCCTGCGGGAGCTGGTTCATCTGCCCCATGGCTCCTTGCTGCATCGACATGTGGTGCTGCATTCTCTGCGGCTGAGGCATGGGGTAGCCCGTAGCCTGCGGCTGTTGAAACTGGTTGGCCATCCCCCCGCCCATGCCTGGACCCCCTTGCTGCTGCTGCTGCTGCTGTTGTTGTTGTTGCTGCTGCTGCTGCTGTTTCTGCTGCTGCATGAGCTGCCGTCGGATGAGAAGATCCCTGAAGTGGGTCATGCTGGGGTGGTTTATGGGCTGCCCCTGTACGTTCACCCCGGCCATGCTCTGCTGCTGCTGTTGCTGCTGCTGTTGGGGCAGGTTAGGCCGCTGGACCACGGCCTGCATGGGGGCCAGGCTCTGCATGCCTGGGTTGCCGTGCATCCCGGGCTGGCCCTGCATGCCCGGCTGCGGCTGCATGCCCGGCTGCGGCTGCATGCCCGGCTGCGGCTGCATGCCCGGCTGCATGCCGGGCTGCTGCTGCATGCTCTGCTGCTGCTGCTGCATGGCGGGTTGCGGCTGATACCTGGCGGCCCTCTGCTTGATGAAGGCAGCCATGAGCTGGGGGTTGGAGCGGAGGATGGTGAGCACCTGCTGCTGCTGCATGGGGGAGCTGGGAGAGCGCAGAGTCCTCAGCAAGTCCTGCAGGGCTCCGTGGGAAATGGCTCGGTTCGGCTGACCCACCACCACCCCTTGCGCAACCTGGCTCATGGCCTGCGTTTGCTGCTGCTGTTGCTGCTGTTGTTGCTGCTGCTGCTGCTGCATGGTCATCTGCTGGCTTTGCTGCGACATCTGCATGACCTGCCGTTGCATGCCCGGCTGCACGGGGTGAGGCTGGGCCATCCCTGACTGTGCCCACTGCGGTGGGGCCTGCTGCATGCCGGCCGGCCCCATCCCCTGGTCCATGTGCATGGGGCCTCGCTGTGCCTGCTGGGGGCTCATGCCCTGGATCTGGCTGATGGGCGCCATCTGGTGGGGGTTCATCACCCCAGGCCGGTGGTAGGGCTGCTGGTGTGCCATCTGACGCTGGGCGTCAGCTGCCCGCTGGATCTGCATGGCTATCTCCACAGCCGCGGCTGGTGGCGGATGGGCGGGGGCCACGGCCTGGGCGGAGGAGGGCAGCCCCTGCCCCACGGGCTTGCCCTGCGGGAGGGGAGCTTGGGGCTGCCCTCTAGCCATGCCGGTGTAGGGGGAGGTCATGGTATTGGGGGGTTGGGGAGGGGGCTGGGCTTGGGGAGGGGGTTGGGGCTGGGCCGGGGGGGTGGGCTGGGGTGTCTGCGGGGTGGTGGGCTGCTGCCCGGTGGGGGTGGTGGGAGCCGTGCCGCTGGGCGAGGGGAGGCTCTGTTGCCCCACCGCCCCTCGTTGCTGCATGGTTGCCATCCTGCGGCGCAGCATCTGTGCCTGCTGCAGCCGATGCTGCAGCTGTTGCTGCCTCAGCTTGTGCTTGATGTTGAGGCAGAAGGGCACGGGGCACTTAGTCTCCTGGCAGTGCTTGGCGTGGTAGCAACACAGCGCGATCAGCTGCTTGCAGATGGGGCAGCCTCCATTGGTCTTGCGCTTGCAGCCCTTGGTATGTTGGACCACCCGCTTCATCTTCTGGCACGAGGGCAGAGAGCAGTTGGCGTTGCGGCACTGGCAGGCGTGGACCAGCGACTGGATGCAGCGCTGGATGCTGAGACGCCTGGAGTCGCCCGTGCTGGCTGACGAGCCCTGCGAGTTGCTCTCGTCGTCTAGCCCGAGCCCCAGCTTCTCCATCTTATGCTCGTGTCCCTTGATGTTGAAGCAATTGACGCACAGGTCATAATCCTACGAGAGAGAGAGAGAGAGGGGGAACATGAGAATTGCTAGACTAAAGAATCATAAAATCTTACAGCATAGAAGCAGGCCATTTGGCCTCTTGTACCTGTGCTAGGTATTTGAAAGAGTTATCCAACTGGTCTCACTTCCCCTGCTCTTTCCCCATAGACCTGCACATTTTTCCTTTTTAAGTACCTATCCAATTCCCTTTTGAAGACCAAGATCCATCCAGTTGGCCTTAAACCATCCTGACAAGTCACGTGCAGAGAGGTCATGTCCCAAACTATAAACCGTAGCCCAAGATATTATTTAACAATACATTAGAAAATAATACGGTTACTCAATCCATGGGACGTTAACCGACCCCAAAGAGTTTGCTCTGAAAATCGGAATGAATCAGTGTTTTATGCCTAAAGGCAGCTTTTTGAAATCGCTCATGAGTCGATGTGCTTGTGTGACTGAATTCGACACCTCTAGCTCCCTGAATGGCCTAAGGTCATAGTTTGTTCACATGGCTTGCCTGAACCCAAATCTCCCTTCAATGGCTTGAGCTTGGGTCAGGTAGGAACCTTCTTGAAACAAGTGAATGGACCGAGGGAAGAGTGATGTGCGATGTGGGTGCGATTTAGTACAGACCGCCCTTGGCTGCAGTAGTCTAAGCCTCAAACAATAATATATAGCGCCATTCAAGCAGGGCAGTGTCTCAGAGTGCTGCGTTAAGAGCAACACGTACCTCACAGACCGTGCAGTGCCACCTAGTCTCCACGTGGTGCTTGCACTCGTTGCACGTGTACACGAAGCGGTCCTGGCCCTGGTTGTGAAGTTCCACTAACATACACATGGTGGACCACTTGGCCCTTCTGAGCGAGGAGAACTCCATGTGTTTGTCCCGGGCCAGCGTCAGGAAGGCGTCTCGCCCGTCCATCAGGTCGCAGGCTATCAGCGGGTCAGGGTCCATGATGGTGGGCAGTGAGTTCGAATTGGGTCCCGCGATCAGCCGGATCACAAAGAATACCTGTGAAAGCAAACGATGAATGATAAGGATTAGAATGGGACTTGGGCAAATGTGCAACTTTGGCGATTATTGGCTGCCGTGTTTTGGCCGAACAAAATATACAGTAAATCCACTTTACGGTATATTCTGTGAAGCATTCTGAGATGTCTTGATGACGTGATAAGGCGCTATATCAAGGATTATTAGCATTATAAGATTTATACAGATGAGACTTCAATGTAGTTGGATGTGAAAGAGATGGCAGACCTCCTTGTGTTTCTCCATGGTAGCATAGAGTTTCTGGGACAGATCATTGGACACGTTGGGCATTCCCGGCTTCTTCTTGTTCCCTCGGCTCAAGCTGCTCTTATTCTTACTCGTTTTCTTATTGTTCTTTTTCTTGGCGCTTTTGCTGTCTCCTTTCTTCCCCTTAAAACAGAGAACGTTAAAGAGACAGTCATGCGGTGCATCAATCAGTCAAGTCAGTAGCGAAACGTTATTTCAACCCACGACTGTTTGTGGGACACTGCTGCATTTCGCCCACAAAACATACTCTATAGTATCTTCTGTGAAGCGCTTCGAGATGCTCAACGCACATGTTAAGGGACGACGTCCACACGAGTAACTTGGTTCAATCCCAAACTCCTGCTGCTTTCCCCATACCCTTTACTAGATAATATTTCCACTGTTTCTCCGACAAATCAAAGGTGCTATATATCAAATCAAGGATTACTATTATTATTCTTTACTATGAGTTAATGTCAAAAGCAGTCGAGTTCCGCTTGCTTTCTTGTGTAGCTTTATGCATGAAATGGCAGATGAATACAGTTCAGGGAGAAGCACTGTGCAGTTTTGAGAAGCTAAAGCAACATTGAGAAACTAGTGATCGCACAGATTCAACAATAACAACTTGTATTTATATAGCGCCCTTCACACAGAGTAGCGTCCCAGAGTGCTTTCGTTCGTAACCCCCGCCAACCCTAACCCATGCTGAGTGGGGTGACTTACATCAGTGCTCTCACACGAAGTGTTGTTCTCCTCTCTCTTCCTCTCCTCCTCCTCCTGTTCCAGTTCCTTAATGCTCTCCTCTAACACATTCGGCCAGAAGTCGCCTTCAAAGTACGGGAGCTCCTTCGCACTGGTCAGTCGGTCCTCCGTTGCCTGCTTAAATATATCCTGCAGGGAAAAGCGAATCCTCCTTTAAACTGTGTTAACTCTACCAATGCCAGACTGAATGGAAAGAACCAGACAACAACAACTGTATAGCGCTTTTCACGTCAGGAGGACATCCCAAGTTGCTGGACAGTAAGGGATTTGGACCCAAGCTGGGTGTTGGGATCAGAGAGGGTGGGGGTAGGAGGGTGACCGAAGGTGCGGTTGGAGAGGAGGGTCCTGAGACGTGCTTTGAAGGAGGCGAGGGAGAGAGCGAGGGGAAGGGACTGCGGTATTATTATTATTAAAGCGCTCAGAGACCTTACTCTACAGGAATTTACTGTATTTAAATGTACCGCTCCCTCTCTCTCCCTTTGCCCCCACACTCCGAATCCTGATAAATATACTGAGAAATTCCCTTCTCTTTTCCCGACAGCACCGTGGGAGATCTTTAACGTCCGCCTGAACAGGGCACGAACGGGGAGTGAGGTTTAACATCTCATCTCAACCTGTTGTACCAATGAAAGCCTTGTACAGAAAGATACCTTGTAATCATGAATTATTCGCTCCGTCACCGCCTTGTCTAACATCTTCTTGTACCACTCCTGCAGTCTTTTGGGCTTGGGGATTTTCTGGTCCAGTGGATGGCAGTGGAAAATATAATCATCCCCCTCACTAGGGGGACAGGCCCAAATGTGACCAGCCGTGTATCTGGGGGAAAGACGAACACGGCCACGTTAGACTAGTTTAGCGATACAAGAGGGAGAGATAGAGAGGAAGGAGAACACAGGAAGAAAAGAGAGAAAGGAAAAGATTGAGGAACAGAAAGTCAGACAAAGAGACAGAGAGACAGAACAAGAAGTCGAAAGAGAGAGCGAGAAATAATGCAGAGAGAGAGAAGCACAGAGAGAGGAGAGATAAGGAAAGATACTGAAATAGAGAGACAGGCGAAGAAAGCGACGAAGACAGATTGAGAGAAGCAGAGAGAGAGATACAAATATTGCACAGAGAGCGAGAGAGATGGAAGCATAGGGAGGAAGAGAAAGATGTTATTAAAGTCTGATTTGCATATCAAACTGTCAATACGATGTTTCTGGCTAGAATTCTGCCACATCCCAACCGCGGGAGCATTCACTTACCCCAGTTTCCTCACGTATTCTAAATAGCCAATCAGAATCTCATGATAGACAGCCGTCCTCAGGCATCGGGGGCGGAAGAAATGTACACTGTCCAGGTATGATATGTACACACGTCTGGAGATGGAGAGAAAAAAAAACCATTGAATCTCCCAACTGAGAGCATAAAACTGAGAGACGTACTCCTGCCCGCGAAACTGCTGCGCCAATTGGCTGCCGCGTTTCTCCCACAAAATATAATCACTTTACTTTACAGTGTATCGTGTGAAGCGCTTTGAGACGTCTTGACGACGCGATAAGGTGCTGTATCAAATGCAAGGATTATTATTATTAAAATACACTCAGGTTTATAACATTCCTTCTAACTAATCTACACAACCCAACTTCCCTTTGGTTTTCAATGTTATAAGCCTTATTGGATATTCAGAGCAATTTTTTGGTTTGGTTAAGTTCGAATTCTGGATGCCCGGATTAAGGCACAGGTTAACTGTACTGTCAAGCGCTCTCACTTTCTGCCTTTCGATGGTGTTTATATAAAAAAAAAGCCACCTCAGTTCTCTCCCCACCATTGGCGAGCAGACCTTCAGCCTCTCTGCCTCACCATCTGTCCATCCACAGTTCCTGTGCCTCGTCGCCTCCCTTGCCTCCTTCAAGACCTGTCTCCTCTGACTGTATCTTCGGTCATCCTCTTACACCCACCCTCCCCACCCTCAACCCCTCTTGAACCCAACCAATAGCTTAGGTGGGGATCCCTGACTGTCCAGCGCCTTGGGACGTGAAAGCTACTGTGTAAATGTCATTTGTTGTTGTTGTTCTCACCTCTGATTGGGGGGAGGGCAGTCAGAGCCGTACTCCTGCACGTGCATGCCAAAGAAGCACACGTCCACCCCGTCAATCTCCTCGAAGGCAAACAGAGCTTTTGTTCGATAGGGGAAAGACTCCGCCATCTCACCGTTATCTACAAACCTGCAGAAAAACACAAGGTGCTTCTAAAAACAAAAAAATGCCATCACAAGACAAACAGCACGAGACTCACAAGTAGCTATCAAGGCTAATCCAATTGGTTTGTTCAGAAGCTATCTAGATGAGCACCAGAGCAGTAAAACATCAGTGGCGCTAGACAAATGTAGTTTTGTTGTTGTCTCACCTTGTCTTCATCCCTGGTTTGACTTCCACAGTTTTATCGGAACTGTGCACCACCCGAACAGTGCATTCGCCTGCCTCCGGATGATTTTGTCTGCGGAGGAAGTCGTTTATCCTGGTTTCCAGGTAAACACCCAGTTTAGTGGTTGGTAACCCTACAGAAAAGAGAGTGAGAGAGAAGACAGTTTTTAAACCATTCATTAAGACTAAATCCCCTCTCCACTCAATGCTGTGATTTTGAAGCACTAATTGCAGGAATAGATCTACACTGAGTTCAATATAGTGTCACCACACTTGACGGTAAATCCCGTGAAATGCTTTGAGATGTCCTAAAAGCGCTATATCAGATGTAAGAATTATTTTTATCATCACCCCTTTGGGTTAAAGGTGCAATTTTTGATCTATCTACTTAACGTCATACACCCTGTCAAGGCAGGTTACTTACTTTTTGCACAGAATTTGTTTTCTTTCCTGGTTTTCCCAATTTTCTTTAAGCAAGGGTCACAAACGAACCTGAAAGAAACAGTGCATATTCAGCAGGGCTCTGATGTAATACCTGGCATCTCACAATCTAATGCTCTCTGCTAACTTATGAGTGTCAGATTAACCTCCTGGAAACCCTTAAGAGGAGTTGAGGTATCTTTGGGTAAGGTAGGCTCCTTTGAAATTGAGACATTAATCTTTCAGTTTTTTTGGGGTGAAAAGCTTTCACCACCCATTTTAACATGTTTTGAACCCTCCAACCAGGGAACCTCAATTCATAAGCTTAAAAACCTCAGCATCTATTTACAAGCTTAATATGTTAATAATAATACTCAGTCAGTTGTACAATGACAGGAACATAGAAACAAGAGGCCATTCAGCCCCTCGAGCCTGTTCCGCAATTCCATCAGATCACGGCTGATCAGTACCTTAACTCCAATAATAACACTAATAACAATATCTACTTGAACATCTACCATCTAAGAATCATTGTGCAATATTCCGTACCCTGGGTCTTGCTCTTACGCTTCAACGGAATCAAAAGGTTGCTGAAAAAGCTTTCACCAACTTCTTTCAGACCCAAACAGTCTCATTCCCTACAGCCCACTTTAGAGCTACTCTCGAACGTATCCCTTGCGAGTCGACTTAATATCGTCACCGATGATGAAAGCCCTCGATAAGTAAAACACTCAACAGAAAGACAAGGGGATTTGGGGAATGAAAATACATTCACAATGGCTGTCCCAGTCCTCCTTCCCTCCGCACAGAAAATTTCACAAATAATTGCTTTGAATGGTTGCTTCCAAGTTGCCAACATTTACAATGATCTGAAATTTGAAACTGATGGCCTTGAGGCTCGAGCTAAATGAAATTTTCTTCAGTTTGTGGGATAAAAAGCACAAAGAACATTGTTAGTATGGAATAACTTACATCCTCCCTCAATAATGTTAGCATTTACATAGCAAAAGCAGCCCTTGTTACCTATAATAGTATATTACTTACCCTGAGGGCCAAATAAGTTCATGGTGAAGGACACAGATCTGATGCATTTTCCGACCACATTCACTACATTCAACAAATCTGCAGAGAGAGAGAAAAAGAAGCCTAATGTGTTAGCTAAAGGATAGAAAGTCCTTAGAACCACCTTGTAAACAGCTCCCAGTTCTATAGTCTGCTGGCAGAGATCTTTAGTATAAGGCAGAGAGAAAACAACTGAACACTCACCCTGGTAACTTATTGGCTATAACCGATATAGTAGCCAACTTCAGGGATGATAGCAATTGCCTCTAAAACTGATCAAAGTGACCAATTGGTCTTGGTTTCCTGCCAGATTCATAATATAGAGAAGGACAGCCAAAGGGTAGAGCGGATCAGGCACTGCTGTGAATCTCTGCAGAGCGAGTTCCCCATTTTGACTGTACCATAGGGAGAAGCAGACTTTGGCTACAGAGAAGGAACAAAATGGCAACTCATTCAGGCTGGGTTTGTATCCCTCATGAGCTGTGTTGGCACAAGCCCGGGTACACAGTGCTTTCTTAGTCAGAGAACAGACTGTAAGCCGAGGACCCAAGCATTAGGAAAGAAAAATAAATGGAAGCTATTTATTACTGAGGAGAGAATTTTGCTTTAAACACTTACGCTTCAGGGTCCAGTGTATCATTCTTCTTTTTTGAGAACTGCTCCTTCGAAATGGTCCTAAAAAGGTAAAAAAGGAGGTGTAGGTAGATACAGGGGTGGAATGGATTTGTGTGTCTATTGGTCAAACACTAGCACACACGCAATGGACTGTTTACAAGAGACACATTAAGTGGTATGGCGAAAGGGCATTGGTGTGGTAAGATCCAATACGCTTGGACTTAAATTCATAATCTTCTGACCCAAAGGTGACAGAGAGTGCCACCAACTGAGCCAGGTTAACACCTCCTGGGGTGGGGGGAGAAGAGATTTTAGATTACACTTACGTCTGAGGCTGTGACGGGTCATCGCCGAGAGAAACGGTCTCCCCTTGAATTTCATTGAAACATTTCTCGCAGAAGTGATATCTGTTAATGAGAAAAGCCACACAGTGAACACTGAACACTTATGTTCAGTCAACTGAGAAGCAGAGACTGCAAGTAGGAGGGGGAAGAAGGGGCAGGTCATCACAATGGAAGCCGTTCATCTATATCAATACTTTGGGATCAATTTGTGTGTAGGGTTTTTTTTCTTAAAAGAAAACACACGGTAATTGAGGGCATCGGAGCGGTTGGACAGTTTAACAGGCCAACACATTCCAAAGATAACACAAAAAAACCTCACAAGCCAAACATTTACACTCAATTTCCCTGAATGAGGTTTTGCAAGCCGCGACGATCATAGTTATTATCGTTCAACCATAAATACAGCTCTGACCGTCCCGTGACAGGCCCTTTACACTTTTAAGCCCGTTTGACTGCCTGGGAACTGTAGGAGAGTTCAGAGTAGGTGTGTGTGAACATGGCCAACAGCAAATTCATTCCAATTCACTGCACCAGTTAATGAACTGCAATCATCTTGAAAGCTTCGTGCAGGTCACTCGAAAAGAGTAACTGAACAGCATGACTACCCGACCAGCTCGATCCAAAGGGAACCCCTACACCCCACCCCACATACCCCTCGTTCTTTCCATCTGAAAGGAGTTGGGGTGAAGACAGATGAAGGGGCAAACACCAACGCTGATAACATGGGTTAAATGGCCTCATGCTGTGCTGGAAGATTTCTATGATTCTATGGATTCAACAACTTGCATTTATTTATACAGCGCCCTTCATGCAGGGTAGCACCTCAGAGCGCTTAACAATGGGGGAGTTTGACACCGAGCTGGGGGAAAAGGGGAGCTGACCATAGGCATGGTCCAAGAGGAAAGTCTTCAGGTACAAGCTTGTTCTTACACAGGGGAAGATATAAGGGAAAGCAACTATCTTACCTGTTCTGATAACTGTAATAGGTAGAATCCCGAGGGATTGTACACAACTGTTTTCCATAACAACAGAGGGTCTGGGGAGAAAATTCCAGCTACGAGAGAAAAAGAGAGTTTAACAGTGGATTCCACAGAAAATTCCAAGCAGAAGAGTTCCAGAGGGCTATTGCTGGCCAAATGTTACAGTTAAGGCCATTTTAGCAGTGACACATTTTACGTTCTTTAAACATCAAGCAGGGTTACTACAGTGAAACTGTACATGTTGGGGCTGGCAGAATGATTGCTTCGGGGATCACCTGGACAGGATGAGAACAGAGAGAAGATAGGAAGGAGCTAGAGGGCTTTTTATGATGTAGTTGCAGTGAGGTTGATGGCAAAATGTGCTGGAATCGGTTTCAGGAAACAGAGATTGTATTTATTATCAAAACCTGCATTTACACAGCGCCCCTCACGCAGAGTAGCGTCCCAGAGTGCTTGACAGTGGGGGAGGAGGGGGCGGCGCATGGGGAAGGTGACAGTATGCACAGTCAAAGTGGAAGGTCTTCAAGCGGGACCTGAAGATTGGCAAGGCGGAGGGAACTAACCTTTCTTCCACAGCAATATCCCAGGCTTTGCATGACAGGGTCGATCTCCTGCTCGAAGACCTCTGCCAGCTTAGTACAGTATTTATACACACGCGACGTCTTGCGGTTGTAGGTCCACGCATTGTTGAACATCAACCAGATGTCGTCCACATATTGCCAAGGCTCCTGATACTGGCCAGTGTCTAGCTTGCGCTTGATTGTAGAAAGGTCCATTGGAGTTTTCACTATGTCAAAGTAGTCCTTGAAGAGAAGAGAAGGTTTAGTTCCCTACATTCCTTGAAGAAACAGGAGGAGGCCATTCAGCCCCTCGAGCCTCTTCCACCATTCTCCTTACAGTTACGTGAGTTACATTCTCACTACACTTATATAAATAAAGCTTGGTTCCCAGCAACGCCCACCCCAACTTTTTAATATTATGTTTCGCTAAAGACTGTTAGCTTGGCCAACGGTATTTAGTCTCTTCTTGCAGGTTCACTAAAACATCTGCGCAATATACTCCATGCTAATTTCATTTCACCAATGAATTTTATTGCGAGAAGACTAAAATTGTCATCCTAAAATGACACAGTACGCAACAGCATGGAAACGGGCCATTTGAACAGCCCAACAAGTCCTTGCCGGTGTTTATACTCTACCCAACCCTCCTATTCCCTTCTTTCCTTTTCCCTCATGTATCACTGATTTTGGGGGCAGGCGGGTCAGCCGGGTGACTTGACACGGAAACCCACCACCATGTTAAGATCCAAACCACACTGAGAATTCCAAGTAAGTTGATGAACAAGCTAGAATACATACCCAGTGAAAGACATTTCAACACAGATAGTTCTTAGTGTAATAAAGTTATGTCCCTTCCTTCCTCTGTTTAGGGATTTACCTATCCTTTATCCAGGATAGGTAAATCCTTAACCAGAGAAAGGAAGAGACAGAGCAAGCACTAAACATGGCTGGAAGCTGTACGTACAGGAATACCCAGGAGATGAGGATCCACAGGCTGCCGAAAAGGAAGTGACTCAGGGTCCTGACGGTAAAGTGCTTCCAGTGTTGGCATTAGTGCCTGTCGCAATTCCTCTGGCTTAAAAACTAAAGGATGAAGAGCGGAGNAAAAAATGAGCAGGCAGAACTTAATCCTGGCATTATCCAGTCTTTGTTGACATCAAGTACTTCATGGAATATACAACAACAACTTGCATTTATATAGTGCCCCTCACACAGGGTAGCGCCTCGGAGCGCTGGACAATGGCGGAGCACCAGGCCGAGCCGGTGGGATGACCATAGCACGGTTGAAAAGGAAGGTCTTTAGGTGCGATCTGAGGTGGGGAAGGAAGGGGCAAGTCGGAGGGAGAGTGGAAGAGTGTTCCAGAGCACAGTGGCTTAATGCGCAGCCACCAATTTATATAAATGTGTGTGTGTATATATATATATATATAGGCAAAACTTCTGGAAAAAACAAAGATGTGCTTACTCTTTTTGCGTGACTGACCACTCGCAGGGGATGACTGAGTCGCTGAGCTTGTGCTGTCTTCTTCCTCCTTTGCTTCAACTTTCATCTCCGGTTTCTTCTCATCAGCCTCCATTGGCTCCTGTTTACACTCTTCGGTCACTGGCTCTTCCTTTACCTGCAAACGACATCCAGAGTAGTGCTGTTACTTAATAATAATCGTTGTATTTGATATAGCACCTTATCACATCTTCGAGACATCTCAAGTGCAAGTGGAGGTTATGGGGGGGTGGGATTGGAAGGAACCAAAGGCACGGTCAAAGAGAAAGGTCTTTAGACGGGTCTTATAGGAGGCCGGAGCATTGGGCCGACAATTAAATGTTCCCGTGAAATGTGACACTGGGTTTGTTCTTACCTCCAGTTTTTCTTCCTGTTTCGGCTCAACAGGCTCCGCCTCAGTCTCCTCCTCCTCCTGCTTCACCTCCATCTTCACATCGGACGCTGGGGCCTCAGCAGCCGCTTGCTGGGAGTTTGTGTCCGTGCTGCTGACCGAGGCAGGCGTGGACACACGACCATCCGCACTCACTGCTGACTGCGAAAGCTGGGAAAAGCCAGAGGAGGCCATCAAGATAAACAAATGACATTTACGGAGCATCTTTCAAGTCAGGAGGACGTCCCAAGGTGCTGGACAGTCAGGGGAGGGGTGGAGGGAAGGCAGGGAGGGTAGGAGGGTGACTGAGGTCGCAGTCAAAGAGGAGGGTGTTGAGACAGATGTTGAAGGAGTCATGGGAGGGGGAAGGCGGAGGGAATGTGGGATGGAGTCCCAAAGGATCAGCTCAACAGTCTAGATGTGAAGCAACAAGCGCCCAGGAACGAACCCAGGTCCTCTCGCTTGCAAGGCAAGAACGCTACCCACTAAGCTACAGGACTCCACTGATAAAGAAACCAAAGAAGGAATCCTACGAACACTGACGTAGATTCCTGTTGGATGTTCCTCTACTTACTGGAGTGCTGGGATGTTGAGGCTGTATTGGTGCGCTTGGCGTCGGGGTAGTTGGGGTTGTGTTCTGCTGTGATGCTGGCTGCTGCTCCCTCTGTTGTTGCTGCTCTCGTTCCCGCTGCTGTTGTTTCTGGCCGGCCGTGACTGGGGTCTGTGGCTGGCCTGGCGGAGGGGGAAGCTGAGGCTGCGGTGGGGTGTGGGCCTGAGCTGGTGGTGGGGGCATGGACTGAGGCTGGGTGCTGTTAGGAGGTGGGGTTTGCTGGCGCTGTTGAGGAGGAATGCTAGGTGACGTCAAGTGTGGGCTCCTCGGTCCCGGAGAGGGGGAATTCTGATGGAGCGAAGGCTGAGGAAGTGGTGGAGGGCAGCTGAACTGGCTGTTCTGGCCTCCTGGCTGCATGGAAGCTGAACTGCTTACAGGCAGCGAGGAATTCTGAGCCTAGGGAAAGAAATGATAGTAAATAAGGCCATCAGAAAGCTCACAAGCAGTCGTTTATTGTGGCATCTTTTACTCTGTGATTGCATGAACTGTGTCGATTGAATACAAGCAATGAACAAGTCTGGTGGAACAACACAGCCCAGACTGTGAGGCGTTTTAGGTTAAGTGCACAAAGTACTGTAGCTAGCCAGCGATTCTCCTATACACTAAAAGAAAACATGTTATATGAATCAAAGTATAAAATCAACAGATATTCAGAAGGCACATCCATCGATTTAGATATAGAGCAATGTTCCATCAACAAGACCCCAATGATGTACCTCAAGCCTTAGACTCAAAAACACAAGAAATAGTTTGGGACTTGACATGTCCATGCGACCGCCAGGAGGGTGGAACAATGAATGACATTTACACAGCACCTTTCACGACGGGAGGACGTCCCACGGTACTGGATAATCAGGGATTTGGACCCGAGCTGGGGGTTGGGATCAGGAGGGGTGGAGGACGAACAATATGGACATTGGTCTTCTTTGGTTTAGCAATTCTTATGTTCTTAATGGGTTTATAAGCGAGAGAGTTAAATACCGGAGACATGACTGGCTGGTTGTTGGCCTGCGTCATGGTGTTGCTGCTCGTATTCATTCCAGGAGAGGAGACTGGGAATTGGTTCTGCGAGAGGAATTGGTTCTGAGCAGGGTGCTGACTAGAGAGAGGCTGCGGCATGCGGGAAGTGGCTAATCCCATCTGTACACAGAGAGAGAACAGCAATACTGTGAGGACATGCACAAAGCTATCGCAATATAGGTTTTAATGCCATCCTCCTTCTACACATCTTAATACCAATCATAGCAAAGCCAAGTTCAGTTAAGAAAATAGGTAAAACCGTGGTGGTGGGATTTGACAAGATGATCTGTGAAGGGCAACATGAGGCACTATACACCGCTGACCCCTTGAATAATACTAATCCTTGCATTTGATATAGCGCCTTATCACATCTTCGAGCTGTCTCAAAGCGCTTCACAGGATACACTGCAAAGTGAGTTGACTGTATATTTTGTGGGCGAAACGCAGCAGCTAGTTGCGCACAGCAGGAATACGCACAGCCAGGTGTCATGCATTCAGTTCCCAAACTCAGCCATGCTGCTGTGTGGAAGCACAGAATTCCAAGTCTTTTCGGATGAGGGAATCTCTTAGGCACCTCCGCCTCCCCCTTCTACCCTTACCACTGCCACTAGCAGCTGTATTCAGAATATTAACACCAGCCCCACCCACTCCCATCGGCCTGGGATTACGTAATGGCACTGCATATCACTAGTGTGGCTTGAGCGATAGGTCAATACAGGCTAGCAAAGCAACGCAAGACAAACAATACAATAGTAAAACACAAGAGATTTGCAGAGACATGCAAACTAATGCTAAGTGTACTATTTCCCAGTCAGTGCACTGGGTTTACGTTAACATTTAAGACAGCCCAAGGGCAGGTATTTAATATGAAGGTTGGTTGGCACCTGAACTAATTGTAACCTCTGTCACCAGCTGTAGGCGGTGCACTCCCAGTTTCGGCTGGGTTAGAGGCAGGGCTGCCAATATGACTCCATGATGCATTTGTCGTTGGGCTCGTCATTTACCAATAATACAATCATTTGACCTAGCGCCTTATCACATAGTTGGAATACCTCAAAGCGCCTCTCCGAATTTAGTGACTGTGTATTTGTGGGCAGCCAATTTGTGCACAGCAACGCCTCACAAATAGTCAAGTGAAAGGACAATTTTTTAAAATATGTTTTCAACAACAAATCATATTTGCATGGCACCTTTCACGTCAGGAGGACGTCCTAAGGCGCTGAAGAATATCAGCCGTGCTCTTGTGTCAAACCCAACTGTGTGAATGACTGGCGCCAACACATATTGAACCGAGCTGGGCTGATGTTGTCCTTGGTTTAATAGTGAAGTGATCCCTGATATTAAATCACAAACCATACCTGGCTCATAGGGCCCGTTTGGGTCATCTGTCCCGGGTGTGGCAGTGGAGGGGTTGAGCGCTGTCCCAGACCAGGCATTGTCATATTTGACATCTGCGGAAACTGGCTCAATCCTGGATTGATAACATACAACAAGAACAATTTGTTGAGTGAAAAGACGAAAGCAGACAAGTGTAATTTGTGAGCGAAACACGGCAGCCCATTGCACACAGCGGCGTCCCACAAACAGTCTTGGAGTGAGCGGACAAATTTTTTTTTTTGAAGGATTCAAAAACTCCGCAGCGAAAACACCCTTTACACGTTTATAATAGGACAATCAGAAGGTTTGAGTTTACCACTTGGAGTCGACATCCGGTTCATCATCTGGCTTGGCACATTTGACCGCATCATGGTTGGGTCAGCAAGAGGCCCGTCTGAAACACAACACGACAGGATTGTGTTTAAACAAGCGCACAAGATGGTTGGTACGCAAACAACTTAAAAAAAACAAATAGCGCCTTTGACATCGCGAGGACGTCCCAAGGCGCTGAAATCTCACGAATGCTTTGCAGGTTTCCGTTTGCCCAGTGAAGTCAACGGCTAAGCCCAGGTTCGAATTATTAACTCGCCCTTCATTGATTTATACCCTCAACAGGCCAAGATCCTTCACGATACACAGATCACGCTAACCTAGTGCCTGCACCACCTAATTGTTATGTACACTGTGTGGGTGCTTGTAAGAACACTTTCGAGATCTTAACATGGAAAGACAGACGCTTAGGAAAGGATCAAGGTCATCACGCTCCTTTGGTTGTTAAGGTTTCCGATCTGAGGCAATTTTAGTTCCAATCTTTTCCTAGTGGAGGATATTAGAAAAATAATCTAGAGTCTCATTTAGTGATATTCGGAATCTTATGGAATTTATGAGTAAATTTATGAAGCACGGCTCCCTAGGGAGAAAATGGAAGCAGAAAATGAAATTTGTTTCAAGAACAAATGAGATAGATTTCTGCTGGAAAATAATATCTTGGGATACAGTACATAGATTGGGGACATGACATGTCAAGCGACTGCCAGGATGGTGGGAGGCGAACTAGATGGACCTTGATCTTTTTTTGGCCAGAAATTTCTTATGTTCTTATAATCTCTGGGCTCCGCTAAAACTCTTTGACCAAGTTTCACATGCAAGGAAGAAAGGCTTAGCTTCTTACTGGGAGGGAGACCGGCCTGCAGTTGGGCCAAGCTCGGGGGCTGGTTTGCCCCAGTGGGTAACATGCCCCCTTGATTGGGCATCACCCCCTGCTTCTGAAGCCTCGTGCGCCGCTTCTCCTCCAGCTCTTTCTGAATCTTGTAGATCTTCTCAGCCAGCAGGTGGTAATATTCCGCCTGAAATGTTAACAAGGTAGACAAAAATGGAATTAAAAGAATATAGCGCGCGTGAAAAGCACAATAAAATATTTTACACTGTACTGATAAATATAGGTTACACATTGTGTCTTAAGGGGGGGGTAAAGAAAGAGAAAAGAGGTGACGTACTCTACATAAGCATAATATTGCCTATTGTAACAACCCTTATGTTATAAAAATAATAACAATCATTGCATTGGATATAGCACCTTATCACTTCATTGAGACATCTCAAGGCACTTCACAGAATACAGTTCCACTGTTGGCCACACCTTATTGACAGGCAAATACTGAATGGTTTAATTCCAAAGCTGGCAAGATCCACTACTGCCCATACCCTCTGAATGCAACACAACTCACCCTGCTGTTAGCAGATTCATACATATCTCCCTCCACCTTCCGTGCGTAAGCCACAAGGTTTTCCATCCGTCGATCTTTTAAGGCCGCCGGGTCAGGTGTTGGGAATATGGCTTGGACTCTGCGGATAAAACAGCAGGCGGTTAATTGAGGACAAAGCTTTGGTTCCGAAATGGTTCAATCGAACTGCTTAACAGTCCTCAAAGCAAATGCTTCAAAATCGCAGATGAAGATCAATTCAGAAAACAAGTCCCTTGAAATGCAGTGTGCAAGACTCCCACAACTTACTCACCTTCAGGGAGAACTCATCCGAACAATCCATTGATATCTAATGTGTATGGGATTGCACTAGATTCTAAAATTGTACTGAATCCTGGTTTACTCCAGATGAATGGATCAGAGAGGTAGGGAGGTGCCAGACCGTGGAGTGATTTGAAAGTGAGAATTTTGCAATTGATCTGTTCTGCACCATTCAAGCCTGGTGAGGACTGGGGTGATGGGGGTGAGGACAGAGGCTGCAGATATTTTTTGGACCTCACTTATAGGAGCTGGGAAGCCCAATAAGGAAGGCATTGAAGAAAATGAGGCACAAAAACTCATTGACAAATTGGTTTTCGGTTTCGGATTAGATATTTGTAAATCATGACATTGTATTCCACAAATACCATAGCAACACGAGGCTTAATCCACAAGTACTCGAAAGGATCAATATCAATTCAAATATGTGTGTGTGTGTGTGTGTGTGTGGGAGGAGGGGGGGGAAACAGTGATAGACACACAAGATGATTTTGACATTTAAAAAATGTGTCAAAATAGTAAGTGGTTATGCAGATGAGGACACAAGAGAGTTAGCCACCCACTCTCAAAGTCCAATGGGGTAATAAACTCATCTGCAGTTATAAATAAGTTACAGTATTTAGAGCTTAAATAGACAGGACTACCCACCCCCATACATATTTAAGTTAGCAATGTTGCCTTCAAGTGCTTGTTTAAGTGCCTTGTTGCTACGGGGTCTAATGGACGCTGTGGAATTAAACAAGGCTGATTTGCAACCATAACATTTAATAAGCGGTGGTCGATGGAAACTGAAAGCCAATGCAATATTTGTGAATGAACTTGTGTGAGGGCTCACGGTGTAACTGGGTGTAGGAATATGAAAGCTGGCTTGCAACAACGACCACAATATGCGTACACACGCGATTTCCCACCTGAGAAACAACTGAACCCACACATCATCCATTGTTGCAACGTCCTCAACCAACCCCACCACCTTGTGTTTTTACACGGCGCTTTTCACGTCAGGAGGACGTCCCAAAGCGCCGCACCTTGCGCAGCCCTTCCCTCACGTCACACCGCGCGCACTTACAGCTTGTGAACAAGGTGATTGCGGAGGTCCTGCGTCACATCTTCGTGCCATGGCTTCCGAACGCCTGTGCTGGAGGGCGGTGCTGCTGTGGGCACGGCACCCAGACTGCCAACGCCACTCGTTCCATCACCCATCAACGGGCTGAAAGCGTCGAGAGATTGTTGTGAGGACAAAATAACAATACTTGCCTTTGATACAGCGCCTTATCACATCTTCGAGACGTCTCAAAGCGCTTCACAGAATAACTGTAAATTGAATTGACTGTATACTCTGTGGACGAAACGCGGCAGCCAATTGCGCACAGCAGCGTCCCCACAAACAGTCACGGATTGAGCGACCAGATTATTATATATTTATTATTTATTTTTTTAAGGGATTATCGTCCCCGGAAAAGCGATCCGCTAATCGACTGACAACCAGGTTCCTACTTACTGCTTGGTAAACAGAGGCGTGCGGACTAAGGAAACTTGCCTCATATTTCTCCCTGCCTGGGAATCGAACCCAGGTCCTCTCGTTTGCGAGAAGAGTGCTCTAACCACTGAGCTACAGGACTCCATACTACAGGAAACACACATATATATATACACACACACCACAAACACACACTTTGTGTCCACAATGACTCCTAGCAGAAAGCAGTCTGAAAGGAAAAGCAAAGAGCGGACACTCAACTTACTTTGGTGAGGTCATGGACGAGATCAACATAGCATCGTGCAGTAAGCTGGACTGCTGGCTGGATGCCTGCACTCCCATACCCCCTCCATTCACACCAATTTGACTGGAACCTGTAAAAACCACACACATTAGTGATCAATTTTATTGTATTTGCAGACGGGTGACTGAGATGTAATCGTTGCGTCCGTTCACTTGCAGGCAATAATTCCCCAGCACTGCTTCAATATATTTGACACCAGTGGAGTTGATTTGTTCTTCCCACACTCCAAACGTGCACTTTACGTAGTAATGCAGAAACAAGAAAACGCCAGTCAGTTACTGAGCCCGTTTCATTGAGTTTAAAAAGCGGTGGCCATTTTAATCTGATTTTTCTGCCTTTGCCCTACATCCCTTAATATCCTTGCTTGCCAAATATCTATCCATCTCCCTTTTAACCAAGCGTTCATCACACCTAGGATGGATTATGCCAACTCCCCGCTTGTCGGCCTTCCCAACTCTTCCTCCACAAGCTGCAGATCATCCAGAACTCTGCAGCTCGTGTCCTCTCCCGCACCAGGCTCCGTGAATCCATCACCCCACCATCGCCTGGCTCCACTGGCTTCCCATCCCTCAGAGGATAGAGTTCAAAATCCTTACGCACAGAAGGAAGCCATTCGGCCCATTGGGCCTGACTTGTGACCCGTGTGACTATTTTTAACGCATGCGTAATGTGATCCGCGAGCTGCAAGTTGGCTACCCCTGCTCTAGGGGATCATTATAATCCAGTAACTAGTTTTCAGTACTCAGTTTGCATTGCCGCTTGTACCTACCCATAGTATTCATCGACCGCATGGACTGATGCCCCTGTGAAGACTGAGACGATTGTTGGTTCTGAACCTGAGGCTGAGGCTGCATCTGGTTGCCCTGATACGTTAGTCCGAGCGCTGCATATGCTCTCTCTATGGAGCTTGGGTCAATCTGACTGGTAGTGTTTAAACTTGGCGTGTTCGGCTGTCCGACCCCCACTGACCCTAAAGAATTTCCTAATCCTACAGCGGCTCCAGCTAGTAATGCTGCGGAGAGAGAGGAAAAGAAGGAAAAACAGATCAGTCCAAGTTCAGGTACATTCCTTGCCCCAGTTCAACTTAAGTTCCTTAACTCCTTTTCCCAGCAAACTGAGTTTCAAACACGCTTCACTAGAACATGGAAAGCTTAAGGAGGCATTTGTTGTTTTTTGCTGAACTTTTAACATAACTTAAGACTCATAAAAATATAAGAATGGCTAGACGAAAGAGGACCAAGGTCCGTCCAGTTCGCCTTCCACCATCCTGACAGTCACATGCACATGTCATGTCCCAAACATATACTGTATCCCGAGATTCTTTTTCCGAACAGAAATCTATCTAATTTGTCCTTGAAAGACTCTCGTGTTAAATGCATTAACAATCAGTGGTATATTATGAAATCAAAATGGAGTTATCTTTATCCCAATTCCTTTTAACAATTGGGAGCCATTGCCTCTGGCAGGTGAACTTACATTGCTGGTTTCGCTTGTCCCCAGCATTTTTCAGAGGGAGACAGACAGGACAATCATGCCTTGTGCAATTCTTCCAGTGGGAGATGATCTGACGTGATGAAGCACAGTGTGCGACTGCAAAGAAGCAACAGGAAACACATGTGAAACTCTACAGACTTAAAACACTCAAGGCAGTTACAACAGTAACTTCACTCTTCACCCACTCAAATAAAAAAAAAATTTATAAAGCAGACATTATAGTTTCAGATTTGAGGTTTCCACACAGGTTTTCACAAACTGTGCCTTCAGTTCCTACATTAGGTGACGGATTCCAACCACCTCGGGTATTTCTGTACTCGATTTGGAAAATTTCACTCGAATTCTGGGTACGAATTATAGGCAGGATTTGAAAGTGTGGACGAGGGGGATTGAGGGAGAGAGTATACAGCATAGAATCGAGCGCTGCTGCCGATGGCTGATCAGCAGGTTGACTGGTACTCACCCTGACAGGACTTGCCAGCCTGACAGTGGGTCATGTGATTGAGGACATTCTTCATGGTCCGGCAGTGTGGCAGGTTGCAGGGCCTGACTTCCCCGTTGGCCTGCTCTCTGCGCTGACACTTGTGTGCGTGGAGGAGCAGGACCAGCTGTTGCTGGATAAGCTTGCGTTTCTCAGGATCGGCTGTGGGCGCGGAGCCCATTCCCTGCCCCGGGGGCTGGCCCATGCCTCCCTGCTGCACCTGAGACGGCTGCTGCTGCTGTTGCGGCGGCGGCTGAGCCTGAGAGAGAGAGACGCACACGCACAAATGCATTTCATATCATTCCCGTCAAGTCAACCCATCAATGACTTCAATCCGCGACCGTTTGTGGGGACGCTGCTGGGCACAATTGGCTGCCGCCTTTGGCCGACAAAATATAGTCGATTCATCCCCACTGGGTGCCCCCATTCCCCGATCGGCTTGCTTCATGTCCCCCGGCCCTGCCCGCTCCACCACCGGCGGTCAGGCCTCCAGCATATCTCTGGAGTCTCTTCGATTCACCCCTTAGTCCAATCACTCACCATGTTTGGCATCCCAGCCACAGCAGCAGATTTCTTGTCCATTGTAAACTGAGGCAGGCTGTTCACCAAGCCACCCTTGTTCTGCAACTGTGGCCCAAGGCCGCTGCCACCCAACTGCTGACCAGTGTTCTGACCGTACGGCTGTCCGTAGGGACTGGGGTTCCCCATCATTCCCATCTGTAATTACACAAAAAAAAGGATTAAAATGTTATTTTTGTTTGGAACAATACCCTTTGAACATCAGTGCGTTTTTTGCGTGCAGATAGTGTGTGTGTATATGTGTGTGTGTATATACAGTGTGTGGGGAGTTTAAAAGAGAGTGAGAAAGAGGCAGAAAGCCACACAAACGCTCCAAGACGCTACCCTGCGTGAGGTGCGTTATATAAACACAAGTTGTTGTTGTAGTGTATGTATAGTGTGTTTGTGTGCGTGTGTTTGGGGGGACGGGGGGGGGACGGGACGGGGGGGGGGGGGGGGGGCGTTGAGAGAGAAAATAAAAAAAAACATTTGCCTCATTGGAAGAAAATGGCTTCCAGCTGCACTGGCAAGAATTCGGCAAAAATCAAACGCGTGTTCTGCGCAGGATGAGGAACAGGAGAAAATGTCCGTTTGAATTTCACGGGACAGATCTCACGGCTAAACTGAAAGGAACCCTGCCAGCTTTCTTGCCACTAGATGGATGACGAGTTCACCAAGGCCCCTAGTGGCAGAAAGCCACACGACGCAAGGTTAAAGCTTGCGAAATAACTGGCGGAGCTGCTGAGCGCTTTGAGTCATTCATCAACATTCGAACGAACACACCCACAAGTAAAAAAAAATACACACACGCTTTCCTTCCTGGTTTTAACCTGCTCGCTTAAATTTTCTTTCACGCTGGCTTACCAAGATCCTCACACTCGGGCACTTTAATTCCCTGGCACCTACCTTTTCACCCACAAAATATACAGTCAATTCACTTTACAGTATATTCTGTGAAGCGATCTGACACGTCTCTAAGACGTGATGAGACGCTATATCAAACGCAAGGATTATTATTACTCTACGAGAATGATCTTGGTTCAGATCTGGAAGGTAGGCTACAGTGTAAGCGGTTTAGAAACTTGCCGATTTATTTCTATAACCCATTGGGTAGTAAATGTTTTATATAGAAAAGTAGAATGTATGCAAACTTAATGCTAAACCATTCAATAGGTCAAATGCCCACGTTTCGCCCACAAAATATAGTCAAAACCGCTTTACCATATTTCCTGTGAAGCGCATTGAGGTGTGATATCAGATGCAAGGATTATTTGAATTGCAGAGAAACACACCAGAACTCCCAATCGTAACCATGTTGAAGTGGGGAAACAGCCAACCCGCACCACTTGCACAGATGAGGGAAATCGATACAGGACCATTTACTACCTAACGGCTATCTGCTAAGGAATATTGATCGGGGAGCGTGCTTTCAAGCTCACAGCCTGGGTAAATATATGGCACAAGGATTTCATGAGGAGCAAAAAAGGAGAACAATCGTGGAGTGCTAAAAATAATCCTTGCATTTGACATAGCCCTTTTAGACAACACAGAGTACAGTGAATTGACTGTAAATTTGTGGGCAAATTATATTTGTGTTAAAAAGATCTAAGAGCAGCAGGTGATGCTACTATAATTCTGCTGAGCAATCTTGCAACGTATGCTTGCAGCGCCACCGAAAATTACCACTTCAATCGGATCCAAACTGCACATAATCAGTTTTCTTTCTGACCACTAAACCACATGATAAGGTAGACAGCAGCACTTAACCTGTGGAAGCAGCAGGCTTGATGGGTGAAATAACCTCCTTGTGTTCTATGCTTTCTTACAACCAAAAAGCAGGTCCGCAAAAGTGTTTAAAATTTCGGATTAAAAAAGCTTTTTAAGAATGTACAATCAACAGATTTTTAGTGCACGGGAATACATGGGTAGAAAGAAGGATGTTGGAAAATAGCAGAAATAGTCCAGTTAAAGAGATAGTCAAAATAGAAATTAATAATAATAATCATCATCCTTGCTTTTAATAGTGTCTCGTTGAGACATCTCAAAGTGCTTCACAGAATATATTGTAAAGTGTGGTGACTGTATATTTTGTGGGTGAAAGACATCAGCGAATTGCACATAGCAGTGTCCCACAAGTGTTCGTTGAGTGACCTCAATTTTTTTTTGATGGGACTATCACCGCTGGAAAGTGATCCTCCAATTGACTATAATAAATGCATGATTGAGATAGGGCAATTTGAGAGAAACTGGGGGGGTTGAATAATACACCGTACTTGTAAATCTGTACAACTAATTCAGATCTGGAACACCTTATGGCTGTAAAGCCATGAATACCTTGGAAAGCAACGGGTCTGATCCTGGCTATTAAAGTACCATCGTTCTAATGGTTACATCACAGGACATGAACAGGCAATTAAGGGTTAACAGCGATATTGCCAGAACTCAACAGTGCACAGACAAGCCATGTGGCAGAACGTTTACTACAGTAGCATATTCTAAATTACAGTCCCAACAAACTACGATGAGTACTGCCGAATGCTTCTTGAATGGAGATGCACTAGGTGCGGTGGATGAGGAATTTGGCTCGAGGATCGCAGATCACTGACAAATCGGTTGACGGGGACAAGTGGCAGTCAAAAAGGTCATCAAGATGTCTGGGCGTGAATATAATAAAATGCTTAGCGGAAGTTAAATGGATTAAGTTTTCAAAACGATTGTAAAAAGCTGATCAATCTTCTCCCCTCTAACGACTGCCCCTTCCTTTTGCTGGATTTCACTTCTAAGGACCCCAATCTACTACCTTGTCCCCAAGTGGAGTCCGAGTCACTCATTCCACAACTGTTTGTGGGGACGCTGCTGCGCGCATTTGGATGCGCGTTTCACCCACAAAACACACACTCAATTCACTTTACAGTATATTCTGTGAAGCGGTTTTGAGACGTCTCAACGACCCTCATCGGCGCTATATCAATGCGAGGATTATTATTATTATTTATGTAATGACAATGAGCACTGGTCAAGTGTTTCACCGCAAGGGACATTGGAGATGAGAACAGTCACTTCATGTGATATCCATATTCACTTGCACAACAATCTTTTGGTAACAAGTGCTTACTAAATTTCACCACTCTAATCCAGGAGCCAATTTGTAGCGTCTCCAACAACGATTGGCTTCCTTAGCACAAACATTTGCAAATGAGTGAACTATTTGAAGTAGGACATGTATTAGTGTGGGAGAGTTACTCCGTCGTCAACTGACAAACGGGAATCATTCAAAATCTCAGCACCCTCACAAATCCCTCTGCTTATTATAGAGGCAAAGGGAAATTAATGAAGTGCAAATGATACGGTCTTGATAATAATTATCATTACATTTGATGTAGTGCCTCATCAAGTCAGGAAGATGTCTCAAAGAGCTTCACAAGAGATGCTGCAAAGTGAACTGCACTACATCTGCGTGATTTGTTGGCAAACGCGGCAGCCAATTTGCACACAGCAACAGGCATGAATTTTATTATTGGCTTGCTTCTCAAACATAACATAGGGTTTGTGAGAAGACTTAAGACAATTACAATGTGAAACGTCTCATCTTAAATCTTTTTTAAATATGTCCAGGTGATATGTAGCGTATACTGGTGCGCAGAACTTAAAACAAATTCACAAATCTGCTCTGATTACACATGATAGTTGCATAGATTTTATCAACCTTTATGTCTGAATCAGGATTTCAGCCCATCTCAGGACATTTTAGTGTAGCACTAAACCAGCTTTATTTTAAAACAAATCAGATTTATAATGTCCAAAAAAAACACAGCTATTAAGGAGTATGGCAAAAGGGCAAGTTATTGGGATTATAGGATCTTCCAAGAATGGTGGAACTAGCTTGATGGGCTGAATGGCCTCTTCCTGATCCTGTTTTCCTAAAAAAGAAACCCCATTGGTGGAAAATGGTAAGCGTAACCATTTCTGTTATACCCAAATTAAATAGGTTTTGGGTGGACCTATTTTTGACACACAGGTGCTTCCTACATTTAACAACTTGCATTGATTTTGCACCTTTGACAGAAAAATAAAACATCTCAAAGCATTACGAAAAAACTGCTGATTCAAAAGGAAGCGAACGTCATGTAAGTAAATACAAATAATCCCAGGCTACAGCTTCCCACAAACAACGGGGCGAGCGGCCAATTAAGGTGAATTGGAGGGTAAATTTGTACAAGGAGGGAAGTGTAAACGGGTTGACCAGAAGAAAGACGGACATTTTGAAATGGCAATAATAATAATAATAATAATCAATGGCAGGGTGGCCCCTTTAAAAAAAATGTTTCACCCACAAAATATACACTCAATTAATTTTACAGTACAGTGCTTTGACACATGTCGAAGAGACGTGATAAGGAGCTGTATTAACATTATTATTAGGTTACTAATGTATATACTATCAATAAACTATTATTAGATTAATAATATTAACATCAAGCACTTTGAGACGTCTCAAAGACGCTATAATCCACTATATTAGTAATTAGTTATTAAGTCTAGCTGAAGCACAAGGCAGACAGAATTGAAATTATCATTAATAAAATTACCATTACTTTCCAAAAAAAATGTAGATTGTTTGATTCATTAAGAATGGATTGACAAGCTAGCAGCAGGACCCGCGAGTGAGTGCCATTTTCTGCTTCAGGGAATATCATCACCGATCATTGTTGTGTGCAATCTCACTCGGAATGAAGCAGAGAACGATGGATTGAGGGCCTACGTTTGCCTCTTTAACTGGCCGTTTACCCTCCTTGATCCAAGTCTGCGCACATCCCATCACTCTCAGGTCTTAGCCTCGTACTATTCTGCTCACCCATTACCCTCAATTTCCTCATATTCTGTCAATTTGTGACTGAATTTACATCTACATCAGCAACTCCATCAGGTCCCCTCAAAGTCAAGATACATACGGTACATCCCACAACTCAGTAACTTCCTCAAAAAGCAGCTCAGCTCACTAGAGACTAAATGTTCAAAGGCAAATACTTGACAAACAAGGTATGCCCAATTTGTTCATTTTGTTTGACTACTATACATGGCAACCTAGTAAACCTTTATTAATAATAATCCTTGCATTTCATATAGCACCTTATCACATCTCAAAGTGCTTCATAGAATATACTGTGAAGTGGTTGACTGTGTATCTTGGTGGCGAAATGAGCCAATAATTGCGCACAGCAGTGTCCCACAAACAGCCAAGATAATTAATTTAATGCAGAGACTCCTTAATGGCTCAATTAGTGAAGCTTTTCCCCAGTGTGAAAGCGAGCCTTATAGACCCAGAGGATATAGGTTAAGTTCGGAATCATCTTCCTAAATCACGATCCATTGATGCCTCCTTGACCTATGCAGGGCGAGGACAGAACTTCCTTCCCTCCCACAGTATAACTCGCACAGTTTCGGCTCACACAAGAAGAATGACTGCTTGAGTGGAGTACTGGAGGAAAACTGACACCTGTAGAACGATTCACTGGAAAGAGTCAGCACCTGTGTGCATCAACGTCCCCCAAACAGCCATGCAGCGAATGACCAATTTTATCGGGAGGAGGGGAATTGTTGGCCAACAGAACTCCTTTCTATTCGTACGATAGTATTTACCATCCACATGAACGGGCAGATGGGACCTCGGTTTAACGTGTTATCCAAAAGGCTATTAAACTAAAACCATTAACTTCCTCTTTCTCTTTCCAATGCTGAAAAACCGTGCTGTGCATTTTTAATCTTATTCTGTTTTTACTTTGGTTTATTAGAAATGACCAGTTTATTTTGTTCCTTAAACCTTCCTGTCAATCACCTGTAGGCGCTAAGGTTTTGCAAGGTGTGGTTTCATAGAAATCCGTAAACCTCTGCTACTCATAAAGGGAAGGTTGTGGGCTGCCCAACACACTACCTTTTCTCGGCAACGCATGTGCCCAATTGGCTTCCCACAAAATATACAGTCACTACACTTTACTAAAAGGAAAATCGGTGTGGTTAAAATTACCACATATTTTCCTTTGTAATAATGATAATAATCCTTACATTTGATACAGCACTTTATCGCGTCATTGAGCGCTTCACAGAATATACTTTAAAGTGAATTGACTATGTATTTTGTGGGTGAAACGTGGCAGCCAATTGCGCACAGCAGCGTCCCCACAAACAGTCGTGGATTGAGTGACTAATTTTTTTGGGGGGGATTATGACCCCAGGAAAGCTATCCGCCAATTAACAATCGGAATACTTCTTACTGCTAGTTAAACAGAGGCGTGTGGAGAAAGGAACTTGTCTAAGGTTTCGCCCTTGATACTCACACACACAGTTTTTTCCCTTCCGTAGTTCAATCCAATCGCATCAATTGGTTCCATCAGGCCTTGTGTGGACGTAAAGCGCACAATATCTTACCTTGTTCATAGCCCCAGCTTGGGGACCTTTGAGACCGGCTCCCATCTGCGGTGATCCCTGTGTCAGTGTGTCAGCGAGCATGTTATTGGGGTTGGACATGCCAGGGTTGGGGTACTGCATGTTGGGTCTACCCCTTCCTGCGCCCAGAGAACCGTTCATCACCTGTGCCTGCATCATGCTCGGAGCATTGCCACCGCTCATCATGGCTGGGTTCATGTTAGCGTTCATGCTCATTCCACCTTGGTTACCCGAGCTGTTCACACCGGGAATCAGACCCGTTGCTGATGTGTGAAGCTGATCGTGTTTCTGTGGGTTCATAGCTTGTGGTGTTGGCGGTCTCTGGTTTGCTCCGCTTGCTCCCATCCCCATATTAGGAGGAGATCCAAGGCCGCCTTGAGTTAAGGGGCTCTTGACCATACTGCTTAAGCTTCCTATATTAGGACTGTTCTGTTGACTTTGGCTGCCTACCGACTGGACTGGGCTATCCATGGATCGGGATGAGGCCCCCCCAGAGCTGACACCCCCCAGGCCCATGTTGAGACTGGAACCGCTTCCTGCTCGTAAGAGTTCGGAGAGCTGTTTGTGCTTCGAGGCAGCGTCCATGCCAACGGCTGACAGCTGAGCCAGGTCACCGCCATTAGACAGGCCTAATGGATCTGGAGGGATCAGTTCATCCGGCAAGTTATTTTCAAGCTCCAGAAATAAGGATCCGAAATCTGAAAAGAAAAAGATAAGCATTACAATTCCCATCATCAATGACAACTATCTTTTTGTTTTAAAAAACGAGAGTGCTCTATACATTTCCAACTAGCCATGGCATCTATATTGCTCCAAAGTGACCAGCAATGCTTGAGAGGGTCACCAAGACAGTAACGCAAGCTAAAAATTAAGGGAATAGAACGGTAAACTTCACAAAATATACTGTGGTATCAAACATTGCTGCACCACTCAGCCCTTAATCATATCTGTGTCTTAAGCAATCCCACAATGTTACATCACAACACAAATACTTTGCATTTTTAAGCTGTAAAGAATGCAAGATTCTGAACTATTATATTTAGCTTTTAGAACTATTATATTATATTCTAAACTATGTCTTAAAGCGCTTAATTACAAATTTCTGACCAAAAGCAGAGGTGAAAACATTTTTAGGAAGATTTTCAAGGCAGCGAGATGGTGAGGGAGGTGAAGAGGTTTTGGAAGAGCCTTCCAGGAGGCAAAGGAGTTTGGAAAAAAAGGTTTGGCTACCAATTGTCAAAAGGGAGAAAATGAGAAAGGAGGAATATAGCAGAAAATAAGGAGCAAGAGATCTGGAAGGGTTTTAAGATAGGCAAGGATGAGATCACAGAGGGATCTGAAAGTCAGGCCAAGTATTGTAAAGTCAATTGACAGGAGTAGTAGAAGTCAGTGAAGCCTGGCAAGGATTGGAGCGATGTTACACAAAGCACAGTGCTGAAAGAGTTGGGAGTTGTTGGAGAATAGAGTTAGAGAGCCTAATGATAGGAGCAGAGGTGACAAAAAGATGTTTCAGCAGCACAGAGAATAAGGTAAAGACATAAGTAGACAAAGTACAGAGATGGAAAAAGGTAAAGTAATGGATTTTAAGCACAGCTAGGGGTCAAGAGTACCAAGATTGTGCACCAGATGATTAAGCCTGTGCGAGGAGCCAGGGAGGGTTGATGAGAGTCAGAGCTGGAGGCAAGAATGGAAAAAGATGTCTTTCGTTCAGCTGAAGGAAGTCAATGCCTTGATAGTCAATCCGAACAGCAGAATAGAAAGAACGCCACGAAAATCAAATCAGTAGCTTTGATTACCTGGCCCACCATTATTTTGAGAAAAATGTAAAAGAAATAAATTAAAATGGACAAAAAAGGATTTATCCTTAAAATCAGTCTACTCAGCAGAAATGCTGGCGTATTTTTGTTGCCCATTTTACGGTTTCATAACTTTCTATCGATTCTTATGAATGTAATACACTTGCTAAATTCCAACATTTTCCGTCAATTATTTAAATGAGAAACTCACAGGCTTCACTAAAATTGATTAATAATCTATTTTAGATTAACATTACCACCTAGAATATTACTTGATATAAATATATGTGGGTTATATATAAATATCAAGTAATATGAAGTAATATAAATATCAAGTATACATCAGTTTCGCCCACAAATTACACCGCCAATCCACTCTACAGTCTAGAAGTCCTGTGAAGTGCTTTAAGGTATCTCGACGATGTGATAAGGCACTTTATCAAATGTAAGGAATGTTATTAAAATACTTTCAAGAATAGGTGGTGCTTAACTAACGTTTTCAATCTTACCAGATATATTTGAGGACTGTACGATGTGCAGAATACGTGGGGCACGGAATTCTATCGTCTGCAGAAAAAATGCTCTAACGCCTACTGAAAGATACCAACTACACTTCCACTGAAGGTACAGTAAGGCATTTGCTTTGTGATTACACCCTGAGTTATAAAATCTCCTTGTTGACTGTAACAGTGCCAGAGCTAATAAAATCCTGATCAGGTATACTGAGCTGGTATTCCACCATGCCACCCACATATAGACTAGACTGACTTTCCAGTCATGCTGCCTGTTCAGACAATAGCAAATGCATCACAGGTGAACAGAAAGATTCCCCTGAGTAAGAAAACGTCAGGCATCTCCTAAATCAACAACAACTTGCACTTTTATGGTGCCTTTCACCAGTCTAGTTTTTGTGGGGGAAGGGGTGGAAAGAGAGGGGAAGGGAGTTAGCCAATGGTTTGGTCAAAGATAAAATTGATCATTTACTTCATAGTTGATTGTGGAACATTGCTGTGTACAAATTGGCTGCCAATTTTTCCGCCAATATATAGTCACTGCACTTTTTAGTAATCGTGTGAAGTACTCGGAGACGTCCTGCTGACCTGAAAGGCACTATGCAAATGCAAGGATTATTTATCTTAACTATTGCATTAATGTTTCCTGAACCTTCTTTTTCATGTGCCATTCCTGGTGTCTGTTGAATCCGTTCATAACTCAGTCGCCTAATTCCAGCTGTTATGTTGGTGTCAGCTTGATGCAGCAGGTAGCCTCTGGGTCAGAAGGTGAATCATGTCAAGACTCAAACACAGGTCTAGGCTGACACTCCAGTGTACTACAGGGAAGTGCTGCACTGCCGGAGATTGGTCCTTCAGATAAGACGTTAAACTGATGTCCTGCCTTGCTTGCCTCTTCAGATGGACGTTAAGGATCCTATGGTACTATTCATAAAGAGCCACTTGGTGTCTGGGACAACAATTGCCCACACTTATGAGTTATTCATTTGTTTTTTTTGTGAGAACTAATTGGAGCAAACGGCTTCTCCATTTGCTTATAATATAGTCAATATACCTGATGGCAATTATGGTGCAGCACGTTTAGAAATTTAAAGTGATCAAAGCAGCTTGATGCAGGTTACTGAATTACTAAAGACCTGTTTGGCTTCATCAGTCACATCTCCTTGGAGTAATCTCAAACGCAAGAAGCTCCCAATTTATCTCAAGATACAGTACAGACATGGAAATCATCAATATCTAAGATCTGGTCCAAATTTAAAAAAAAATCAAACTGGAAAGAAAGAAATGGTAACTGTAATGAAGATCTCCAACCCATGAGATAATTAGTTGGATTCCATTATTTTACGAAAAAGGGAAGCAGTAAGATTTGGGAGTGCAGAAAGTTTCAAGAGGGAAGAGAAATAATTGACTGTGAAGGAGTTTGGAGAATATACACGTGAAAATGGTGCTGGGCAAAATGGACTGCTATGGTCTGTAAATTTTTGCATTGCAATACAATATATTTCTAAATGGGACTGGCAACCAAAGAAAAGCTACCTCACATGACAAGTGTCCAAGATACATGAAGAAAATAGGGGACAGGAACTATATATAGACCGATCAACCACCTTATGGTTCGGAACTATTACTGCAATGCAGCATTTTATGTCAAACACGTCACCTGGCTCAAGCAGCCAGTATGGCTTAGTTCCAAAGAAATTTTACTTTTATCTGTACTTCCAATTGACAAATAATCTCCTAAATGGTATCTCTTTTTTCAGGTATGGCGGACTAGCAAATTGGTAGCTGAACAAACAGCTGTCAACCACGACAATGTTTAAAGCATTGCCACTATTACAAATTTTTCTTCATTTTTCCATTCCAGGTTGTCTGAAGAGGTGCAACATTCTGCATTCAAATTAGGATGAAATGAGATCTGAACAAATTGTTGAACTGATTAATAATACTTGCATTTGATATAGAGCTTCATCATGTAGTTGAAACATCTAAAGCACTTCACGGAATAAGCAAAATATGTGCAACAGTGTTCCACAAACTGTCATGGAGTGAGTGATTAATTTTTTTTGAAGGAATTATTTACTAATTACTATTACTGCTAGGTAAACAGAGGCATGGAGTAAGGAAGGAGTAAATCCTTTAACCAAGTCCTCTACCCAATACATTACAGGACTCCACGCATCCACGAATACTAGTTTCCCAGAACATTAAGATAAAGACTGGACCTAAGATTTTTGTGTTTAAGAAATACTGAAGTGACTATTGCAACCAATATTTGGGATTGCAGACTGTTCTTTTGTGGGCCTTTAAAGCAATCAACATGGAATTCTCTCAGTCAGTTAGAACCTCCACTCAACGAGTGATCCACCTGACCATAACTCTCATGTTAAGACTTTCACTTTCCATATCACTACAGAAATCGATTGAAAAAGTCCAACTTCAACCAAGAGTGAAGAAATGTTTTCTTTAGGCATAGGAAATGAACATTAAGAAAATTACTTTTACGGTCACTTTGGGGGAGAATTATGTCAAAATTTGTACACATATTACCTGCATCTTCCCGCATGGGTTGTGTTAAATTTCACCCACAAATATACAGCCAATTCACTTTGCAGTCTATTCTGTGAAGCGCTTTGAAATGTCGAGAAGACGTGAAAAGCACTATATCAAATGCAAGGATTATTATTATTATATTATTATAAATGCCGAACATATAGCGGTAATGGTAAGAAATTTCAAAGCATTTATAACAGGTGACTGATACCAAACCCATTAAGAGTATCCTTGAGCTACTCAAAACTACAAATGAACAGTGAAATCAGCATGTGAGCAGTTGTACAGATCTACTCGTATTTACATCGTGTGTTTCGTGCAAGACAAATAATGCTTGTGCTGTTCTTGTCAAGAGAATGTCTCAAAGCACTTTACAGCTTCACTGCAATGTGTAGTGTGTTTTCTGGCAGCCAATTTGCACCCAGCAATGTCCCACGAACAGCCACAAAATCAATGACCAATTCTATCTGGGCACTGTTGGCCAGGACATCAGGAGAAACTCCTTTTGAGGGGGAATCTTTAGACTTTCATTTGAACAGGTAGATGAAACGTTGGTTTAATATTTACAAATATTTTCTGTGCATTGCACCCATGTACAGAAAATGTGATTGAGAAAAACGTCAAGGGGGCAAAGAAAGGAAAAAAAGGAAGAAAGTGGCCATTTTCAGTACAGGAGATCAGTATCTGAACCCTCCCAGTTGACAGAAGATCCGCTTTATAATTGAGGTACTACTATATCAAAGAGTATATAGGAATATTAAAAGTACCGTCAAATAAATTATTATAAACTTTGTCTTGAATTTATCCGACTAATCTATCTCTCCTTTCCGCCTCAATTTA